CCGCGGGCGACTTCAAAGAGACCCATCGGGGCTTCCTCAAGATTGAGACGGCTCTGTTGCTGTTGGGCACGGGCGCGTCGGGCATGATGCTGTTGCGTTTCAAAAGCGTCCTGCTCGCTGTCGGTGGGGCCAAAGCCTCCCGGCACCATCGAGAGGCGGTCGCCCTTGGTATCCCAGATTTCTTCCTCTTCAGACTCGCGCGTCCGCAGCCCCGTCATCTCCTCGTCGCATCGTCTCCAGGCGCCGAGGATCTCGGGTAGTGGGTCGGGGGAAGGTACGAGGATCAGGGCCAACGAGAGCAGCTCCATGCGCTGCGACAGTCGGGTGATTTGGGATTGAAGGTTCGGGCTTGTGGATGCTGTCTGCGAGCGGTAACGTCCAACATTGTACACGGCACGCCAGGAGATATCGTCTTTCACAGACGGGTTGGTTAGGGGAGACGATGTGGATATGAGGGAGGGAGGGGTGAGACGGGTGAGAATGTAAGAATAGGCGGTGCCGAAGTCGTCGTCCGAGAGAGCCGAGGAGATGGCCAAAGACATGATGCGTCGTTCAGCCGTGACGACAGCATCTTCCGAATCTGACGGGAGGATGCTTTCGTCGTCTGGCAAGTGAGGCGCAAACCCGGCGGCAACTAGGTTTCGGCCGATGCTGAGAAGGTCGTCCAGTTTGGTGTAGGCTTTGGGGTTCTGATCAAGGACCTTTTCGATCAGGGAGAGGGGATCTGGATGAACGCGGATGCTGACAGGTTGGAACGGCACTCCGTGCTGCAGGGTGAGAGAGTAGAAAGACAGAGCATGCGTGGCGGAGATAAGAGCTTTGATCTGTTTGAAAGAGGTAGAATCGGGGATGTGTGGTTGGAATGCTTGTAGACTACTCAAGCCAAACGTTGTGATTAGCACGTCAACTTATCTGGCTGTTTTCGGTGGTGCAATGACTTACATTTCATGCGCCTTTCTCATTCCGCCTCGTGTTCGGTTGCCATTGCTTGCGTTATCGTATGCTGAAAAGATGGCCTCCTTGACGGCCTCCTCCACTTGAGAGAGGTTAACGGTTGAACTCGACTTAACGTAAAGCTCGACGGCCAGGTTGTATTCTATAGTTGTTAGCGCTTGAATGCAAACTACAGGAGGCTGCTGGCGCTCACCTTTAGCATCTAACAATGCTTTTAGAACCTCGGCCTCGACAACGTCCCGCGGAACCCTCCAAAAGAGCCCATGGCAATTCAATTCGCCCTCTGTTTGGCCCACTTGACCAAGTCCCCAGTCTCGAAGCCAAAGCAACTGCTGGCGGGTCTTCTTCCAGTCCCGACCAGATTGGGCCTGTCTAACAGCAGATGCCATCACGTTTCGCAGTTCTAAGAGCTGCATGTCCTCATTGCTGTGGAGACAAAGGTTTGCGGCCGTCCTGCAGGGGATAGGATACCCCAGTACATTCAAGATCCGAAGAGATAGGAGTATGGCGCTCAAAAATGAGATCGAAGAGGCCGAGGGGTATGTTAGGGGGTTGGAGGCTAGAAGCAAGGCATTCTGCAACAGAGACACTCGCGATGACGATGATATATGGCTTGCATCAAACTTAATTGAAGGAAGTGCCGAGGCGTCCGACGTGAGAAGGGAGGCATCTCTGTAGTCCAGTAACCTCGAAACGCGAGCGAGGACCTCACTGGATCCATCCAACGAGGGCCCGCTAATGTCGGCGTTCGCGTAAATGACGGCAAGTCCTGACTGAGCATACCTGATTCGCAGATCCGCGACCTCATCACTCTGCATCTGTCCGTTTCCTCCATCATAGCCTCCTAAGTCCACATCTTCGGGTCCACCCCATTTGGTAAAAGCGCTTACAACACTCTCGAGATCCACCAGGCTCCGCGAGACCAACCACTCGTTGACATAGTGCCATCCAGCGCCATTCCTCGTGCGCGGCTGGGTTTCTCCCGGAGGAAGTGAGATCGAGTTCTGCTGCGTCGCTTGGCTCAGCCTCCGCCGTTTCGACCGATTGCTGCCGTACATCCACGAACCAACCAAGCCCCGCAAGTTATTGACCAAATCCATCATGTTTCGTTCCGCACCAGTCATCGAAAGGAGGACATTGATTGCCGTATGATCATCCATAGACTCCAACGTATCTAGTGAAAAGGTCTCGTCCGGACTCGGATAATATTCGTAGTTTAATCGCAGTAGCGGGAGTAGCGTAGAGATGAGCCAGGTTCGCACCGACGGTGACCGTTCGTAGAATGGTAGGAGAAGTTCGAGAATCAGCGGTTGAAGCGAGGTCTCGCCGTCGATCCGATGTGCTCGATGAATAAGGAATTGGTCTAGGAGGCCCTCGAAATCCTGACTATCTTCATCGTCGGGACACTTGAGGGGCAGTAGACGGAGTTTTCGTACACGTTTTCTCGCAACCGCCTCGGTCAGGCCTTTGACGGCAGAAACATCAATATCCTCCGTGTCCGAACGGTTTGAGTTACCGTCCACAATATCCTGGACAACGGACGTGTAGCGCTGCGGCTCTGTGCTCTCGGGTAGGAAGGTCAAGATGATGCGCAAGAGTCTCTCGGACGGAAGGCAGGCAGGAAATCGAGCCTGGAGTTGCGGGAGATAGGAGACGTTTGCAGTGGCGCACCAGTGAGTGGCCAGAAGAATCGCATGAGCACCGGAAAGCCCTGCGAAGACTGCCATGGCGAGCAGGGCGAGGGAAGTCGAAAGATGGTGATGTGTTCGGGAGCAGGCAGCGCGGCCAGACGTCAAGACCGCCGGGCGCACGGGCCATGCGGAAAGAACGAACCTCGCATCGCCAATCCGTCCTCTCCTGCCCCTTCACGCCTCGCCATATCGCTCCCCTCCTCCACCACACACTTACACAATGGCTTCTGGTTTTGGTCTCAACGGCGGTACGTCCTCATTCCCTCGCATCTCCCCCGGGATTGCGGTCCCAATGCCGTGATCCTTCCGACAGACGTCCGCGACTAATGCGCCCCCTCCACAGGTCCGTCCCGCTGCTTCAACTTCTGGCAGGAAGTGCTCGGCTGCTACGTTGTCAACGCCGGGGAAGGCGAGGCCGGCAAGAAGAAGTGCTTGCCTGCTCTGGAGGATTACCACGAGTGCCTGCACCACAAGAAGGAGGTGCGTTTTTCCTGTTCCCCCGAAGCCCAAGCTTCCGAGGTCGATTCCTGAGGAAACCGGATATGTCGGAGCTCGAGACCCTGTTCTTATATTCCCCCCTGGCGAGGATACATGGCTAATCGGAGGAATAGGCTATCCGAACGATGAGAATGCAGGACGCCTACCAGAAGGCCGAAGCCTCGAACCCCCGTGAGAAAGCGCCCAAGGCCGAAGAGATCCGCAGTCTAGGATTGCTAGGGAAGGAAGAACAGGCAACTGCCTTTTTGGAAAAGTCTTAGAGAAGAGATGGGACTACGTTGAGAGGGTGCGATGCGGAATTCGATGTTTCACTATTACTACCAAAGTCATGCTGTTTTGTTCCTGCGACGATGAAGTCCTCAATGTATAGAAATGGACACGTTCGGTTCTGGGATTTTTCTTTCTCCCCTTGTGCCTGAATTGCTTACCTTCGGATCTCGGAGATCGACTGTTTATTTGACATCTTGAGAGGAGATGCGCTACGTAGAGTGTAGTCCAGATCCTTAGTCTCAATCCTATATTTAGCAATGATAGAGACAAAGAATCTAAGAAAACCAAGTTGGCAGTTATGTCAGTCTCATCAAAAAAGACAGATTGTTTCCCATACAGCGGGTTATATATAGACGCCTACAAAGACAGACAAAGAGGACCGATGACGATCCCGATATATATTTCCACGACTGTAATCGAGGCCCGCTGATTGGATCCGGGTGAAAGCAGCCTGAGGCAACAAGGACGGCAGGAGAGAGCCTCAGGCCAACCAGACCAGAACCACAGGGATCTCGGAAGGGGTCTCTATGCCGACGCGGACGAGGGATGAAATCTGGCATTTCTTGGCATTTGGATGAGGGATCGAAACAAGCTTCCAATGACCGGATTGGATCGGAAGGGGAATGTATGATCGCCCCGGGAGCAATGAACGCAGTCCTCCGTCGGAACTACGGATAGTGGCTTAGGTACAATCTGTACAGAGCCAGTAGTGCATCCAAACGGGAGGCATCGGCGGCGCAACGCAGCCTCAGGCGCCCAGGCGCAGAGGCGTCCTCCCGTGAGGTTGGGGAGTCACGTGGACACACGAAAACCTTTGCGGGCGTGGGTCCGGCTAACCCGGAAAGAGACTAGCGCGCAGGGCCCAAGCATGGGTCGGCGCGCCCAGCGAAAGAAGCCCCAATGATATAAACAGGCAGCGTGACCTCGAGCGCTCTCTTGTTGATACTTGAGTTACTGAGGTGACTGACGGATTCCGCTTTTCTGGCCCGTTGCTTTCTGCGGCCATCCCGACGACGCTGGACCTTTTGCGACTCTCCATTTTGAGAGTCGGTTCTAATTTAATATTTTTTTTTTTCTCTTCTCTTTTTTTATTTTTTTTTTTATTTGATTCTGATTGTATTATTTTATTACTTTACCCTTTTTTCCCCATTTTTCCAATTTTTCATCTACATCGTCATCGGCCCTCAGCTACTATATGATCGCGGGAATCTCCATCTCAACCACCAAATTCTTCTCTCTGCTCTCCCGATGACTGCCGGCTTCGCGACTCCCAGTAGTAAACTCATATTGCGCCGCCCTTTATTTCCCCTGCGCGTCTCGTGATTGGACCTATCCACTCTCCACTCTTCTTCTTCTTGTTCGATGGCGGTGACGGCGGTGTAACGCGGCTGTATTATTCTTTTATACCTTACAGCCACTGCTCCGACTACGACGACTACGACGATTCCCACGACCTGTTATTCTCTCTCTTTTCACTTGCATTTCACCCCGAAACTCGCTCGCCTCGAGTTGGTTTCTGGTGGAACTTTCCACTTCTCACCCTTTTCTCACATTTCTCTCCCCCCGTGAGAGGGGAATCTGCCAGCCATGACTTCCAGGTGAGTTTCTCTACAGTCTTAGTGTCTACGCGAAGAAAAAGTGGTAGACGGTAATACCCGTACATGTGTGACACGACGCTAACCGGTGTTGCGCGCTAGACTGGATCGCTTAGTCACGTGAGTATCTGTTAACATTCGAGCCCCCGTCGGGGAGCATCTGACTAATCATTGTGTTCTGTAGATTGCTGGAGACGGGCAGCACGCCTCTTATCCGTAACACGGCCGCCCAGCAACTGGCTGATGTTCAAAAGCAGCACCCTGATGAGCTCTTCAACCTACTGGGTCGCATTCTACCGTATCTCAGATCCAAATCGTGGGATACCCGCACGGCCGCGGCCAAGGCTATCGGTCTCATCGTCACCAATGCAGATGTCTTTGACCCGAACGAGGACGACGGTCTGCAGATCAAAAAGGCCGAAGACGATGATGACGATTTGGATGTCGATATCAAGGCCGAGGAAGAGCAACTCTCATCCGCGGAAGAGCCGTTGCTCCAGCTTGACCGCCTCGATCTGATCTCCATCCTCAGATTCGGCAAGCGGCTGCTGGGGAGTGCCGGCAAAGAATACGAATATTCGCTGGCCGCCCTAGATCCGGCCTCCCGGTTACAGCATCAGAAGAAAACACTAATCTCCAGACTGGGTCTCGCAGGGGAATACATCGAAGAAGAATTGATCGACGACAATGACCTGGTTCATAAGCCGGCGTCTGGGACGAAAGAGGTTCCTTCGCCCATTTCGCGTGAAAACAGCAACAGTAACAGTAACAACCACCACGGCATGAACTATCCTGCGGTAGCGTCGCCCGGTGAGGCTGCCAACGGTGAGGAGGCGGGTCTGAGCAAGCGGCAATTGAACCAGCTGAAACGAAAAAACAAACAGAGTGCGAAACTGGGTGCCAACAAAGTACGTTTGGTAGACATCTCCGCGCGACGGCCATCCGAGAACGTTACTACACCATCGACAACGACGCCCCACCCGATCAAGGCCGAGAATGGGGAGGAGCGGAATGGCGACTCGAAACCCGATTATTTCTCGCTCGATCGATCCAGCGCCGATGATGACTCAAAAATTGTCACGGAATTCAAGGGGGAGACTACACCCGCAAAGCCCATTATCCAGCCGGAGCTTGTCGACGAGGGTCCTAGTCCGATGTGGCCCTTTGATCCCATGTGTGATTTCCTGATGATCGACATCTTCGATCCGAACTGGGAAGTTCGTCACGGGGCGGCGATGGCTCTTCGTGAAGTCATTAGGGTGCAAGGTGCCGGTGCCGGTCGGGTTCGAGGGAAGACGCGAGCCGAGAATGATACCCTCAATCGCAAATGGTTGGATGATTTGGCATGCCGTCTTCTCTGCGTTCTCATGCTCGATCGCTTTGGAGACTATATCTCCGATAATGTTGTTGCTCCAATTCGCGAGACTGTTGGTCAAACGTTGGGTGCCCTTCTGTCCCAGCTCAGCACGCGCACAGTGATTTCCGTCTACAAGTGTCTCTACCGGATCATCATGCAAAAGGACCTGGACCTGGACCGTCCCATTTGGGAAGTTTGCCATGGTGGCATGATCGGTCTTCGCTATCTTGTAGCGGTGCGAAAAGACCTGCTCGTGAAAGATGCTAAACTTATGGATGGTGTCTTGGAGGCGGTTATGAAAGGCTTGGGAGACTATGACGACGATGTCCGTGCCGTGAGTGCTGCCACGTTGGTCCCCATTGCGGAAGAATTCGTCACCTCTCGACAGGGCACGCTGGGTCCTCTTATGACCATCGTATGGGACTGTCTCTCCAATCTGCAGGACGATTTGAGTGCCAGTACAGGGTCGGTGATGGATCTGCTAGCCAAACTCTGTACGTTCCGCGAAGTGCTCGAAGCGATGAAAACAAACGCAGCCGTCGATCCCGAGTCCTCATTTGGCAACCTCGTCCCTCGCCTCTACCCCTTCTTGCGACACACGATTACCAGTGTACGTTCTGCAGTGCTCCGAGCCCTGATGACATTCTTGAAACTCGAGGGCGAGGGTACCAACGAATGGGTCAATGGCAAAGCGCTCCGTCTCATCTTTCAGAACTTGTTGGTGGAGCGGAACGAAGGGGTCCTGAAGCTGTCTCTCCAGGTGTGGTCGGAGTTACTGAAGGCCCTGGAAACTCGTGGATTATTCAATTTGGAGGCCGAACTGTTGAACAATGTCCAGCCCCTCATCACATTGACTTTGGCACCTTTCGGTGTACCCCGTTATCCTATCCCCATGAACGCCTCCCTTTTCATCAAACCGTCCGGCTTGCCGTTCCCAACCAGCGCTGCTGCTCCTGCGAGATCCTCTCCAAGCTCAAATAACACTGGACCTGACGGGGCCAAGAAACGCGGGCGCAAGGTCGAAAAGAAGGAAATTCCACCACCTCCCTCGGCTCACAACGTTGATGGGCACATGCTCCAGGGTGACATTGACCTTGTCGGCGCGGATACGATGTTACGATCTAAGATCCACGCCTCCAAAGCCCTTGGAGAATTCCTCCATTTCTGGGACAAACATGGACTTTCAAATCTCTGGCCCTCTATTATTGAATGCCTCAACCACTCCGCATCGACTTCGCAACTCTCATCTGCCATGGTTATCGAAGAATATGCCAGGTTCGCCGGTCCCGGCGCTAAGTACACAGCTCAATTGTGTGAGAGGCTGCGCCCCATTGTGGAAGGAGACCGTCCACTGTGGTATAGCGATATTGCATGCTATCTCCATGTCGCCCGTGCACAGTGTCATTCATTGCTGAATGCCTTCCGGGACCATGGGCATGTCGCCGGATCAAGATTGCCTGTCTTAGCCGTTATCGTTCAAGGGGACCCCGAGGCTGGCCCGAGTGCGTTCTCTCTGTCCGATGCCGAAAAGGTGATCGGGCAAGACTTCGACCGGCTAAATAAGACCATGACGCCCATGCACCGGATGACTGCCACCCAGGTACTGACCGATACACGCTCAACGGCAGATAATGCAATCTCCGAGGCACGAAACGTCCGTGAGCAGCGAGACATGCGTGTCCGAGCCGCGGCAGCCGGAGCCTTGGTTGCTTTGCATGATATTCCCAAGAAGCCCACCCATCTCATCAAGGGAATCATGGACAATATCAAGAAGGAAGAAAACGCCGAGCTTCAGCAACGCTCTGCAACCGCGGTTGTTACACTAGTGGAGTACTACACGAATGCCGCCAAGAGAGGCCCCGTCGACAAAGTCATTGGAAACTTGGTCAAGTACTGCTGTGTGGACACGTCGGAGACCCCCGAGTTTCACCACAATGCCAGCCTCGACAAATCGATCCTATCACTTCGTAAGGAGGAAGATCGGCGCGATCATCCGGATGCGGCGAAATTCGAGAAGGAGGCAAAGGATGCGAGAATCATGCGTCGTGGTGCCAAGGATGCCCTCGAGCAACTCGCCGTCAAGTTCGGCGCAGGCCTTATGGAGAAAGTACCCAATCTTGCGGCTCTGATCGAACGTCCGCTCAAAGAAGCGCTCTCTGGCGACCTCCCCGCCGACATTCTTGATATTGGTAATGATCTGGGCCAGGAAGCTGTGGACGGATTGTCAACGCTTCGTGCCATTCTTCCCAAGTTCGACCCTGGTCTCTACCCCTGGGTGGTTGGTCTCATGCCAATCGTCGTCAAGGCCCTACAATGCGAGCTCTCCGTCATTCGTTACGCGGCTGCCAAATGTTTCGCCACGATATGCAGCGTCATTACGGTGGAAGGCATGACCATGCTGGTCGAGAATGTACTACCTACTATCAACAATGCCTTGGATGTTCATCACCGCCAGGGAGCCGTTGAGTGTATCTATCATCTCATCCATGTTATGGAAGACGGCATCCTACCTTACGTCATCTTCCTCGTCGTGCCTGTCTTGGGACGAATGAGCGACTCTGATAACGATGTGAGACTTCTGGCAACGACGTCTTTCGCGACATTAGTCAAACTTGTCCCACTGGAGGCCGGCATTCCAGACCCCCCTGGTCTCTCGGAGGAGCTGCTCAAGGGTCGTGAACGAGAGAGGAAGTTCATGTCACAGATGCTAGACGTGCGAAAGGTAGAGGAATTCCAGCTACCAGTCTCCATCAAGGCCGAACTTCGACCTTACCAGCAAGAGGGTGTCAATTGGCTTGCCTTCCTCAACCGCTACAATCTACATGGAATTCTCTGTGATGACATGGGTCTCGGTAAAACCCTTCAGACCATTTGTATTGTTGCTAGCGATCATCATATGCGCGCCGAAGAATACGCGCGAACGCAGGCGTCAGATTCTAGAAAGCTGCCGTCTTTGATTGTCTGTCCACCGTCTCTGTCTGGACATTGGCAGCAAGAGATCAAACAGTATGCCCCATTCCTCAAAAGCGTCGCATACGTTGGACCGCCGGTGGAACGTGCACGACTAAGAGGCGCTCTCGCGGACGCGGATATCGTTGTGACCTCGTATGACATTTGTCGAAACGACAACGACATTCTCAACCCCATCAGCTGGAACTACTGCGTGCTGGACGAAGGTCACTTGATCAAGAATCCCAAGGCGAAGGTCACTCTGGCGGTCAAGCGCATCGTCAGCAACCACCGGTTGATCCTCTCTGGTACGCCTATTCAGAACAACGTGCTGGAGCTGTGGTCTCTTTTCGACTTCTTGATGCCTGGATTCCTCGGTACAGAAAAGGTCTTCCTAGATCGCTTCGCCAAACCGATCGCGGCTAGTCGTTTCAGCAAGTCCTCCTCGAAGGAGCAAGAGGCTGGAGCACTAGCGATCGAGGCTCTGCACAAGCAGGTCTTGCCCTTCTTGCTGCGTCGTCTGAAGGAGGAGGTGCTTAACGACCTGCCTCCGAAGATCATCCAGAATTATTACTGTGACCCCAGTGAGCTCCAAAAGCGACTCTTTGAGGATTTCACCAAGAAGGAGCAAAAGGCCCTTACAAACAAGGTGGGCAGCTCCGAAAAATCTGACAAGGAGCACATCTTCCAAGCGCTGCAATACATGCGCCGTCTTTGCAACTCCCCGGCACTTGTCGTCAAAGAAGGCCACAAGCAATACAACGAGGTCCAGACCTATCTGAACCAAAAGAATTCCTACATCCGAGATATCTCCCACGCCCCTAAGCTCAGCGCTCTGCGCGACCTGATGCTCGACTGCGGTATCGGCGTTGATCCACCTAGCGAAGGTGATTTGGCTACCGGAGCCAGCTACGTTAGCCCACACCGAGCCCTGATCTTCTGTCAGATGAAGGAGATGCTGGACATTGTACAGAGTGAAGTTTTCAAGAAACTTCTTCCTTCTGTTCAGTATCTTCGCCTGGACGGTGGCGTCGAAGCAACCAAGCGTCAAGACATTGTCAATCGGTTCAACACAGATCCCAGTTACGATGTCTTGCTTCTTACGACCAGCGTGGGTGGATTGGGTCTGAACCTCACGGGAGCCGACACGGTTATTTTCGTGGAACATGACTGGAACCCGCAAAAGGATATTCAGGCCATGGACCGTGCCCATCGTATCGGACAAAAGAAGGTAGTCAATGTCTACCGATTGATCACTCGGGGAACGCTGGAGGAGAAGATTCTGAAGTAAGTTTTCGATTTCTAGCTTTTTTTTCTCTCTCTCGATACTAACAATCCCCTCTAGTCTCCAACGATTCAAAATCGACGTCGCATCCACAGTGGTCAATCAACAAAATGCCGGTCTCAATACCATGGACACAGACCAACTCCTGGATCTCTTCAATTTAGGCGAAACGGCCGACAATGCCGAGAAGCCCAGTGACACCGCCACAGGCAACGAGGTCGACATGGTCGACATCGACGGCGAAGTCAAAGAAAAGGGCAAGAAGGGCTGGCTCGACGATCTCGGAGAACTCTGGGACGATCGACAATACCAAGAGGAATACAATCTGGATTCATTTTTGGCCTCGATGAAAGGATGACGATGATGATATTACCTGATTTTCTTTTTCTTTTTCTCTCCTGCTCTGCTTTCTACTCATGTATTTTTTTTTTCTTGGTGGCTGGCTTTCTCTTTTCATCGGTTTTTTTATGTCTAATACTTATTATCTATTTTATGTCCGCTTTCCTTGTGTTATCATCTCCGTCAACAAACAGATATGGATGGCCTGGGAGTTTTGCGTTTTTGTCCCCCTTTTCTCATCTTATGATCCTGTATTCTCTTCTTTTTTTCATCTTGATATCTTCCTGTAATTTTACTCATTACGTTACACTTGTGGCATTACCTACCATACCCTGGAACGGAGAAATAAAAAAACAAGACCCCAACCAACACTGGTACCAATTAATCCAACCACCCATCGAAGAAAATCACAGATAGAGGGCAAACAAGGACATCCACAAGAAAGGAAGAGAAAAAAGAAAAAAAAAAAAAAAACCAAGAACCAAATGAGCAAGTTCCACGGTTGATTAGAACCACACAGATGTTCCTTTCCCCTTCTCGTTATTTGGTATCGATCGATCGTCCTTTGTCTTTCCTCTTCATCCTATCGATCTATCTTTCTATTCATTCCTCTATCTATTGATCTTTAGAGTTTAGAGTAGTCTCGGAGCATGCATCGCCTTGGTGCTTTTTTTTTTTTTTTTGGTGTTTCTGTTTCAATCTCCGCTTTTATATTCTCATACATTTGGATTCCTTTTTTTTAACCCCGTAAGGTTGGGCAGCTAGGTAGATAGATTGATGGACACAACTACGAACTGCGAACTCTTACTAAACACAAAGAAAAACCAATTGATTCAGTTCAGTTCAGTTCAGTACGAAGATGTAAAAGACAACATGGAACCAAATCTGACAGGTAACCATGTAGAACGGCTCATTCATCCAACACACAAACAAGTTCGGAAGAAAAAACCAAAGAACTGCATCTGTTATCTATCTGTAATCAGATCTGTATGGCTGGTTTCATGCTCATGAATAGATAGAAAAGAAGATGGAACAAGTTAATCAATTTCTTGATACAAATTGCAAATTGCAAATTAAACAAGACAAAACGGACAAGATGGTCGTTACCAAGTCAACAAATCACCAACATCGAATTAAGAAAGGAAAAAAAAAGTCAATCCATGTCATGCAGTCCTTCATCCGATTCACCCAGACAAGGCAAACATGGAGTAGAAAGAGTCAAATTAACTGGAAGAAAAAAGGAAACGCATCCAACGCCGTCCAGTGAATATTGCATTCCGGATGCATCCAAGCGCCTGCGTGAGAAGTAGAAAGCAAATCGAAGACCCAATCCCAGAGATATCAAATCCGATGAAGTAAGTACATGGGTCAGTCTGGAGACTGTCGGGTCAATGGAGATAAAATGTACGGGATGAAAAAGAAACACCATTCACTGGGAAAATCGAAGGGGTAGAAAAAGAAATCTTGGAATGCGGTATGGCTATGTGCGGTTTAAAAAGAAGCTGAAAAAAAAATTTTCGTGAATGCATATGGGCTGGTCATGTCCCAATCTTGTTCATCTGAGAATTGATGGACAATCAAGGACGGTTCTTGGGTCGAGAGAGCATATTCATACGGCTCATGCTCAGAATGCCACGACTCCTCTGGCGAGCACTGGCCGGGGTCCCAGATCGACTAACACTCGAGGACGACCGCATGGGGGTGTGAGTCCGAGCCTTGGTAGGACTAGGAGTGGGCATCTTGGTGGGAGACGGGGAGCTCAGCTTGACTCTCTTGGTGCTACGAGCCCCGGAGGGAGACTCGACCGGCGGCACGTTCTCGGCCTCGGCCTCGTCTTCGGTGGCCCGGTGCCGTTTCTTGTTTCTAATGCCGTGAGGAACGCCGGCGACATCGGGGGCGGAAGTGGTAGTAACAGGAGCAGCATCTGAGGGGCTAACCTGACGGATAGAATGCTTGGCTTCGGCGTTCGCTGACTTGGAAACCGCGTGGTCTGGAGTCAAGACTGGCAAAGTGGGATAAACGATATTCGAGATAGGCGGAGGCATCACTGCGGGGGTTTTAGAGGGGGAGGGAGACGCTTCGGCCGCAGGGGAGCGAGTGCTAGCTGAGAACTCGACGCGCTTCTTAGGCGAAGGAGTCTGAACAGGATCTTCCGACGCGTCCCGCGATGATCCCACCAGCATCTTGGATTCGAAGTCCGGCGCTGCCACATGAGTCCCAGCTGCAATCTTGGAAGGGTCCTTGGAGAACAGAGGCTGGTGGTTGCGGCGGAGAATCGATCTGAGGTTGGACAGGGACGGGATGTTGGTCTTGAATCGGGGGTTGAAATCGGTTCTGGGCGTGCGCGGAGCGGTGGGCTGATTCAACGACGGAGACCGTGCTAGAGAGGGGATCATGGACGCCCGAGGGGGCTTGATGCTCGTGTAGGTGGCGCGCGCCGCAGAAGCCGCAGTCGGGGTCATCAGCGAGTTGCGCACAGCCGACCGTGGACGGACATGAGCGGGCTTGCTAGGAGTACGAGGCTCGCTTTCAGTGGGCCGGTGCGTAGATGTGTCGTCAGTCTTAACATGTTTCACGCGTTTGGCGCTGGCCGACACGGCCGACACGGCGGGCACGGCAGCAGGCTTGGTCGGGGTCGCCTTGGCGGGCGATTTCTTGTCCGACTCATCCAGACGTGCCTTGGAGTTGGTCCGCTTGAGAGTCTTCTGGACAGGCTGGAAGCGTCCGGGGGTAGCACGGAAAGCGGACGCGTGGCCGGCAATCGAGTCCATTTTCTTGAACTCGGCCATGTGAGCATTGCTGAAGCGATTGGTTTTGCCCTTGGGGTGCGCGATTCTTCGGTCGCCGGCCTGTTGGTCGTCGGCCTTCTGCGAAGCGGCCTCTTTCTGGTCCACGGTCATCTGAGACTTGATTTTGGCGACATCCTCGCGCACACTCTCCATAAGTTTCTTAGCTTCGTCACTGAGCTGCGACTCATGGCAGGAGAATTTGAATTCGAAGCCGGGCGTACCGAAGCTGGTGGACGCGGGCGAAGGTCGAGCCTTGGAGGGAGTATCCTGTCCCAGGGACTCCTTCACAGGTTTGCCCTCTGCATCCTTCTTGACAGGATTGAAGCCCAGGATCAAGCCCGAGTCGGCCTGTTTGGTGGTACTCTGGTGAACTTTGCTGGGGTGCATCTCCTGGTGAGGCGGGCGAGTGAGCACGCTAGTGGGGGTCTGGGCCACAGGGGTCTTTTGGGAGGGAGTCTTCTGAGACGGTGTTTTTTGAGAGGGAGTTTTCTGCGCGGGGGTTGCTTTTAGAGGCGACCCGCGATTCACAGCAACCGAAGGAGTAGTGGCGGTCTTAGGCTGGGGAGGAGCTGCTTTGAGAGGAGTGCGGAGATTGGTAGAAGAAGTAGAGGATGTGGCAGCCTTGGGCTCGGGCTGGGGAGGAGCGTCAACAACGGGGGTCTCGTCGCGCTCCATCACGGCGGGGAGTGTGGTGTGGGTATTAGTAGTAGTGTTCTGGTCGTCGTTGCTAGTGGGATTGTTGTTGTTATTGTTGACGGGGTCAACAGGCAGCTGCGGTTCCTAAATTAAGGAGCGAGATCAGCATGGTGTAAAGAGTCATGCAAGGGCCGCGAAGAACTGAAAGCATAAATCGCTGCGGTGGGATGATGGTGGGTGGGTGAGGCGAAAGTGAGGTTGGCGGTTGGCGGTTGGCGGTTGTCCGGGGGGAATGTGGGCGAACGCCTTCTTACCTCGGAGGAAGCCTGACGGCTGCGCAGACGCGCAGATCGGCGAACCACCATTGTGAGGGGACAGAAATGGAATGGAACGCGAGGATGGAGTCGATTCTAAAAATGAGGATGAGAGCGCAATTGACGGGACGTGGCGTGAACGAGGCAAACGGAGGGAAAGAGGGAGAGAGGAGCGCGCAAGGGAGAAAACAACAAAAGTCGAGGGTAAACAAATAATGCCGGGCGGTGAGTTGACGTCATTATGTTGCTGATTCATCCCACAGTTGTGCATCTTATTCATGCGTCATAATTCATTAACTATCACTAACTATCATTAACTAACTATCCGTACTCTCCTCCCATTACATGTCGTCCATTACTCCGTACATCCTCTACTCTCCAAATGGATACGTCTCCTCACTCCCCAACGCCGTTTTCGGTTGCACCGTATCCAACGACTGGACTGCCACCGTCTGATCGAACCAGATATAAGCATCGAACTGATTATGCAACTCCGCCTGGGAGTAATGCGACAGCTTCTCCGTCTCCGGCCGATAGATGACCCCAATAAACCGCTCCAGGCGCTCCGAATCGGTCTCCATCGCCACCGCCAGCTTCGGGTCGATCTTGCCGGGTCGCAGATCCAGCCAGAAGCTGGGAATCCCCGTATCGTGCGCCACGCGCTCCCAGCTATCAGCCCGCGACGGCCGCACGGTCATCACCTGCATATCGTCGTCCCATGCGTGCGCGGCCACCACGGTACCAGTGTGCGTCCCGCAGCCTATCAGGGCGACGTTCTCGCGCCCGAACTGCTCGCGACACAGCTGCCCCAGGTTCACCTCGTCGCGCCGCCGACCCATCCCCGTATACCGGGCGTCGCCGCAGTGCGAGTTGTGCGCCCACACCACGACCTTGGCCCCGGGCTTGGAGCGCCGGAGCCGCTGCAGGGCGTCGACCATATGGGTGTCGCGCAGCGTCCAGGACGCCGTGGAGCTGTAGTACATCGCCTTGTAGTAGCGTTCGGCGTCCCGCACCAAGTACGCGTTCTGCTCGCCGCTCAGGTACTCGTCGCCGTTGTGGGGGTTCGCAGCGTACTGCACGCGCTTGTCCAGCAGGTCGCGCAGCATCTTCACCACCGCGGACTCGCAGTCCTGCATCCCCCGGATGGCTGTGAGTCCGTAGGCGGCGGGATCCTCGACCCACGGCGCCAGACAGCTGTAGCGGAGACGTGCAGTGTTCGCGGCATCCGGGTCCACGCGGTCCAGGTACCGGATCACCGAGTGCATCGATTCCCCTATGCTGTACATGTCTAGACCGTAGAAGCCGGCGTTCTGGTCCTTCGGGACCTGCGCGTTGCGGTTGCGCATCCATTCCACGAGCGTCTGCGTCTCGCGATTGCGCCACATCCAGGTGGGAAATCTGCCGAAGGGCTCGTAGTCGGGTGCGCGTTTGCCGATGGAGGCCTGGGGTCCGGGTCGTCGTCGGACGTAGCGATCGATCACTTCGGCGTCCGGCCAGTCGGCCTCGACGGCAACCATGGTGAATCCGTGATGCTCGATCAACCGCTTCGTGATCTCGGCTCGCGCAGAGTAAAATTCCGACGTCCCATGGCTGCCGTCGCCCAGAAGAACGACGGAATAGTCGCCGAAGCCGTCGAAATGCGAGGCGAAATCGGGGTCCTCGATGGGTGGCAAGGGACGAGCTGCCGCGGTGAGAAGTCCCTGGAGCTTTTCTGACGCCATACGCATGGAGATAAAGGAGTGAGCGCACTTAACAAGCCTTTCAGAACGTTCGTATCTCTAGTGTACCTGAAGGTACCTAAATACCTTACTGAATGGGGGAGTTTCATTAGTAGCGATGAAGTCATTCGCAGCACGATCATTATGACTTCACTGGTGTCAACACCCACGTCACAACTCAACCGCACGACAGATTTGATAATAAAATCAAAATACTAGTTATAGAAGTAAAAGCAAGTTCTACAATGCTCCCAACCAAGTCTACCCCGAAAATCCCTCCACTAATTCCTGCACGTATCCATTTCCATCTCCCGCTGCATCCCCGCTGGAATAGCACGACTAGCCATAGTAGCAGCAGCAAAAGTACCATGAGCGTTCACAGCTCGCCCCGCCTCCGACGCTTCCAGCAAGCGCAAGAATCCATCTACGGCGACTTCAATTCCATCTCGGACCCCAGGCACTGGTCCCCGCCTCCGAACTTAGGCGGCCATCGCGGCCGATACCTCTGGACCGACGCATTTGGCGTGATCAATTTCCTCACACTGCACCGGGAGACCGCATTGCAGCAGACCTCCCCCGTACCAAACGACAGATACCTTATCCTTGCCTGCCGCCTCGTCGAGACAGTTCACGAGATTCTCGGACGTACGCGCGACGGACTCAACCGACTCCCCGGCGCAACAGACACCAATCCTTTAGGCGGGGGTCTTCGTATCGGAAAGCCAGACGCGACAGGCCCGGACGCCGAAGGCCAGTATCACCACTATCTAACGGTGTGGATGTTTGCGCTGAACCGTCTCTCCCTGGCGACGGGCGATCCGATATACAATCGACAAGCGGTGGCGCTGGCACAGGTTATCCATCCGCGGTTCTTTGTGGGTCGCGAATCCGCCCGGCCGCGCATGGTGTGGAAGATGGCGGTGGATTTGTCGGCGCCGATGGTGGTTTCGGAGGGGAATTTGGACCCTGTTGATGGATATGTCGTGTTTAGGCTGTTACAGGCGGCGGCAAAGCAGGCAGGGGAAGGGATTGTGTTGGCGGATGAGATCGTGGATTATAGGCGCATCATGCGCAGGAGGGGAGAGCACTATGTGTCTGAGGATCCGCTGGATCTGGGGATGACGATGTGGACGGTCCATTGGTTTGTGGAGAAGGAGGAATGGGCGACAAGATTGGCGGGTCAGGCAGATGAGCGAGTTGGTAGGTTGAATCCGCTGCCCGGTGTCCTGTGGTGAGGTGATTATCGTAGGAGCTAATGTGTAATATAGACGATCTGTTTGAAGTCGAGCGCTACTTCGAGCGGAGCATCAAGTCTCGTCTGGCATTCCGCGAATTCGGCACCTGCTTGGGTCTTCAGTGCATTTCGGAGCAGTTGTCGGAGAAAGAGGGAGCCGTGGATCTCAAGGCGCATGCCGACTCCATTCTGGACTTCTGGGAACCATACATGGAGCAGTCACTTGGGACGCCGGAGGATCTGCGGCCCATAACAAAGGTCATGTATGCATCGGCGTTGCTGCCAGGAGGTGAGTAGTTGTGTTGTGTGCCCTGTTGTAGATGGTGAGCTAATGCTAAGACTGCGTAGCATTTCGCCACGGATATTTAGGTCCAGAGCCTGTCCCTAATCGGGAAACGTAGATGAAACAGAACTGTATATAAATTCATGATAGTATTCTACAATATGCATCATTCGTTCAGCACATGAACCTCTATGCTGGGAACAAGAACTCCTGAAATCTTCTATAACCGACAGGGAGCAAGACCATGAGATCATATATATGCTAGTTATACACCCGGAAGGCCTACCGCGTCTCTCCAGGGGGTATTTCGTCGCGGGAGGATATAGATGGTATAGACGGTTCCAAGGGCAATCAGGAGTCCCGTCAACTAGTTCACAGTTAGCCAAGTCCAAGGGAGCAATTCCCCACAGCAAAGAAGATAAAATAGAAATAAATACCTTCTCAAACCACGTATGGAACCAGATAGCAGTCATCAGAAGCATCCACCAGCCCAAGCCAGAAACCACCCACGCAAACCGAACCGACAATTTCTTAAGCGCGACAGACGACTCGTCTCCATTGTCAGCCTTCTTGACTCCACCATTCTCCGACGCCAGCGCCCCGAGTGTTTCGAAAACCAGCATCGACGTCGCCAACACCAGCATGAACACATGCCCGCTCACGTCGTGACCGCCTCGCCAAGATCCGCCGGCCGATTTGCACGCCGCGGCCGTGAACAACGTATGGAGAGTCGGCGAGTTCTCGCCCTCGGCCAGCGGAACCGCGCGCTCACATTTCCCGCCCGTGAACACGAAACTGCGATCGATGACAGCTGGTCCGAAGAACCACTGCGTCGTCAGATACCAGACTAGGGTGGCCAGGGCGTATCGGGCGATGGCCTGGCCGATTCGTCGCGGTTGGTGGCTCGAGGGGGCCGCGTAAGAGGGGAGGGTGAAGAGTAGGAGAGAGAATGCCAGGGTGGTCCATAGCCATCCGACCTTGACGAAGTAAACGTTGAAGATGTTGTCCTTGCGAGCAAAGTAGTTGACAGGCGGTTGTGGCAGGTTCAGGTCAGCGGCGATCGTAGGAGCCAAGGGGCCGGTATGGTCAATGGCATGATCCCGGGAGCCCTGGGCTGTCGGAGAGAGGACGGAGAATAGCGAGCCGACAATCAAGGTTACTGGATAGACAAGAAGTGCCGTCGCTGGTGGTTGATAGGGTCGCGTTGTTGTCGTGGGGGGTTTGTCGGATGAGGACATGTTTATTTTTTCTCGTTTTCCCTCCTTTTTTGCTCTGTCGTGACACCCCAGTGGACAATAAGTGTGTTGTAATTCCTTCTATTGAGAATTTTAAAGCGAGAATAAAAGGACAATGTTTCAATTGGTTCGCTAAGGGCAATGGTCTGTAACGCCGGTGGACAAGAGATGGACAGAGAGCGAAAGGCACGACGAAAGGAAGACTTGGAAGCGCCCAGAGAATGACGTCGCTGCTCACCGCCTACCACTTCGTCTACAAGGCTACATCATACAATGATCTATAGAGAACAAGAAACAGAACGAGAAAATTTATGGTAATATCGAAGTAAGTTGATTAATCACTAATCCCTAATATCTAAAATACTAGTCATTATTCAAAACATGTACATCACAAGTCATAAACCCTGTACAGATCGTCTCGTCTCGTCTATTCCTCTAAGCCACCACGGGCAATGAAACCTGCAGCGGCAGCTTCCGCGAAGAGCTTCCAACGAAGACCTTCTTGGGGTACTTGGTGATCACCCAGTCCTGGGCTGCAACGTCCCAGTTGGATAGATCACGGCGGGTGAGCGTGGTAGACCACACAACCTGCTGCGAAGCACCCAGGCGAACTCGCTCGAACTTGCGGAGCACCTTCCGGGGCTCGTTGGGGCCACCCAGAGAGACATACTATAGATAACAAGCGGTAAGCTTCAAGATTATCCCCGATCACTGTCATTTCAGAGATTCATATCTAACTTACCAGCTGAGGTACCTCGTCGCCGGCAACGTGGCCAGTGTTGGTAATCTTGACCGAAACCCGAACCAGGTCTTCGTACAGGCCGGGGTTACCTCCAGGACCGCCACTAGCGGGCAGAAGGTCTTGAGGCGAGCCATCGGTGGCGTCCTCGGGGATGTACTGCGAGTCCTTCCATCCGTAGTGGGGATCGCTCGAAGACTCCTTCAGGTCGGTAGAGTTAAGCCACGGGTAGATATACTCGTGGATTCTCTCGTGCCCATCGGGGTAGACGAGTTCCGAGGCCTCGTCGGTCCTACCGAAAGTTTGGGCGGCCTTCGTCTTGCCAGAGGTGGGGGTGTACTTGGATGCATTCAAGGATTGAATCTGCAGGCCCGAGTACTCAAACTTCGTGTAACTGAGACCAAATCCAAACTCATAAATGGGAGTCTCGTTGCGCTTGTCGAAGTGGCGGTAGTCAATGAACACACCCTCCTCGAAGTTCTCCTGGGGCGGCCCATTGCCGTTGTTGGGCTTCGTTACCAAGGGAGCGCCGTACGACTCGCGGTTCTTGCCCCAGGTGAAGGGGGTCTTGCCGCCAGGGTTGACATCTCCGTAGAGCACGTCGGTCAGAGAGTTTCCAGACTCCTGGCCAGGCAGACCAGCCCAGAGGATACCGGTGACGTTGGGGTGGTTGTACCATTCATCGACCAGAACGGGGCCAACGGAGTGGATGACGACGACGGTGTTGTTGCAGTTCTGAGCCGCGGTCTTGATCAAGTTGTCACCGTTCTTCCAGAGAGTGAGGTTCTTGCGATCTCCTTCGTTTCCATCAACGCTGATGAACCCTTCACCTGCATCGGCGTTGACGAAAACAAGAGAAACACTATGGTGGCATGTTAGCTATGTGCTCGCTCACGGGATAGCATCACTAGATCATTTTCGGCACTCACCTGGACAGTGAGGCGAGCTTAGCCACCTTGTCCAGAGCCCAGTTCTGGGTGATGGAGAACACGTTACCGCGACCTTGGAGAACCTTGTTCTGGATAGCCTGCTCGGGGGTCACAAGATAAGGGAATTCCGCAGTTCCGCTACCCCAAGCCATGGCGAGGGTTCCGTTATCGCAACCACGGTCGTCGCAGCCGTTAGCACCCCAGGCATTGGAGCCGGCATCTTCTCCGATAATGGCAACCTTCTTCTCCTTGCCGGTCAGCGGAAGAGCGTTCTTGTTCTTCAAGAGGACGATGCTGTCAGCGCCCACGCGACGGATAATGTCCTTATGGTCACGCTGCACATCCACAAATTGGTTGACTCTCTCGTAAGCACCCTCCGAAACCGCGTCGTGTTCGAATCCGTACTCGTCTCTGGTCCAGGAGCTGAAGTTGGGAGGGGTGTGAAGACGATCGCGGCCGACCTTGTAGTAAGCAGCCATGATACGGACAGCCATGTCATCCACACGCCACTGGGGAATGGTGCCGTTGAGGACTCCGACTGTCAGGTTCGTGCCCCAGAACGAAGTGCCGTCGTTGAAGCTAATATCGCCAGGCATCGACATATCCAAACCAGCCAAGGCAGAGCCGACACCGCTGTGGTGTGCACTCCAGTCGGTCATGACGAAGCCCTGAAATCCAAGCTCGGCCTTCAGGAGTTTGTTCAGGGTCTCGCTGTTCTGACAGCCATAGCTGTTGTTGATCTGATTGTAGGAACACATGACGGCACCCACGCCAGCTATCAATTGAATTATTAGCAACGCAAACTCTCTGAGATCAACCAAAAAAATAGCTTACCGCGCACAGCATCGGCAAATGGCCTGTAGAAGTTAGCGTGGAGGCCTTGGAATTGGCAAATGATATGAATGAGAATGCTCACCAGAGGTACAACTCGTGCATGGTCTTATCGTCCAAGTTTGAGCTTACGGTGTCGGAAATGTTGAACCCGTAGCCAGCAGCCTCGGGAACCTGACGGAAGTGCTCCTGCTCGTTGGCAATAAAGTGCTTCGCGGTTGCAATGACACCCGCATCCTGGATGCCCTTGATGGTCTCTGCGAAGAGCACACCGGAGAGGGCTGGGTCGGGAGAGAAACCCTCCCAGTTTCGGCCGCCATCAGCGTGTCTACCGAGAGGGCCAGAGGCAGGTCCCAGCTGCACATCAATACCCTTGTCGCTAAATTCCTGTCCCATTGCCTTACCACGCAGGTAGGCAAGAGACTTGTCCCAGGTCGCAGCGACGTTCACACCCGCGGGGAATGCGGAATTGTAATCCGCTGTAACCGTTAGGGTTAGCTATTCACACCTATGCCACAGCAAACAATATCCATATAACTTACAAAATCGAATTCCCAGGGGGCTGTCCTGCAAGCACAGGCTCAACAGTCCGAGTCTACCATACAAAGTCAGCTTTCAGGAGTTTACAACAGATTGGATGAATGCTCACCTAGGCACACTTCCCGTCTGACCGACACACTTCTCCAGCTGCCATCTGGGGGTCTGTCAGCTCTACATTTCAAGATTGGCACCGCAGTACTTCTTGATCACCTACCCAGAACCCGTCGTGAGGTTAACCTTTTCGGCCAACGTCATCTGAGACACAAAGTCGACAGCGCGCTTGTAGGACTCGGCCCACTCTCCCTGGCCATTGGCCCATGGGGAAGGGTAGTAAGGGGGAGAGGAAGCTAGGTCATCCTATACGAGGTTATTAGGATACCGTCCGCATCCAGGTAGAATTGACCTGACGAAAGGAGAAAAGGCGGGGGGCTCTGTACCTGAGCACTGACCACCGAGGCAGCAGTCAAAGCCGCCGCCTCGAACCAACCGAACTTCATCGTCGCGGGGAAGTAGAAAGAGAAACAATCAACCGCGCAACAGGTGCAGAAGGATGGGAGCGATAAGGGGGAAAGAAGGGAGACGAGGGAGGGGAGGGCGGCGATATTAATAACAAAACAGGAGAACAGGAACGCCACCCAACGAAGGGGGAAATTTACGTGCATCGCGAGACAGTCGGACGGATCATTTGTATGTACGACGGGAGTACACTGGAACAGTGGAACTACAGGCAGCGTTCCCCACAGTATGCAGCATAGTCTAGTTAGTCTAGTTAATGTCGAGGGAGGCAGGAAAGACCCGCCGGCAGCGAGAAGTTTGGAACGGTAGGTATGGTGATCGACATGGGGGAGCCAGATCGAGCAAGTGCCAGGCTGCCAGGATGGACTAGCAAACTAGCAGACGAGTAGACCAGCGGATGGGTTCCATGTGGTGACCGGTTTGAGGCATCCGACGGCATCATTTGTTGGCCATGAGGTAGTACTGGTGAATAATGGCTATGACTTATGATCACGACACGTTCTCCGGGCGAATCCAGGCCAACTGCAACGAGGCAGTCGGCCCTTCATTGGCCTCTACCAGAGAGAGCAGAGTCATTCCTCTTGGCGGCATCTCCAGCCCCGCAAAGGGCGAGGTTGTTTGGGGATGGAATTGAAGATGCGCAGGAGGAACTAATGGAAAGACCCTGTTACACCCTCCATACACTCAGGAGGTAAGGTCCCATACATTCCGACGCGCTCCTCCACAGTGCATCGGACAGGATCGATCGGCTATGCGGAATTCCTGGCCGGCTCTAGATCATGGATTCTGAGCTCTGGTATGAAACCCGATTGAAGATATTGAATTCAATCTTTATGATCAATCTGATTATTGGATACGCAGTACGATACACGGCAATACGCAACTGCCGTTTCCGGGGAAGGCGGCCTTAGGCTCCCATAGAGCTGACTAATCGATGCATTGACGAGAGAAACAAACAAGTCGCCAACAACAATGATGTTACCGTCTCACTCGACGGATGCAATCAGTAATACCCCGCAGCTAGATTCTCCTCCTCGGTCAGGGCAAGCGAATTGCAGCATGGCCTGACCGCAGACGGAGTATGGATGTCTTGGATAGCTAGACTGTGTCTGCCGGCCCTTGCGGACCGTCCGCAAGGGCCGCAAATTTCGGGGTCGCTCGGGAATATTTGGGCTGCAAGGAGCGGGCTCCTTCTCCTTCATTTCGGCATGGCGACACGGGCGGGTTCAAATTTCCCCCTCAAAGCATGACGGAGTAATTGGAAGCGCTGAGGCAGGCAATGGTGGATAGACAGTGGCACGGAGTGCTCTCCGTCCGTCGGCATCGGGTGGAGGTCTGCAGATCGGCGTTGATATTGCCTAGATCATCCAAGCCCTTCGGCGGCTTCTCTACTTCTTGGTCTTCGGTCTTACTCTGTGGGGTGGTCTACGAGCCGCTAGAAATCCTTTCGCGAAGCTCGGGATTAAAGAAAAGCATCGGTTCCGTTCGTGGAGTTTGCGGTTTTGAACAGAAGTGCCACTGCTCTTTCCCCGGATCCGTGTGCCAATGACTATGTCCTATAAGCTAGGTTCCTTCTTGCCACGATACCTGCAGACTTCAGCAACTTACTGCACGCAGAAGGAACTATGAAGACAGCGCTTCATGTTCGGCGATGCCGGGAATGGTCCGAATAATTTGGGGTTGTGGGGAACCTCCGCGGGGCGACTGTGAAGTAATATGAAGTTTTACTCCGGAGTACGTAGTGTCTGACTTGCTGCATTCGCGAGATTTCTCCCAGTTGTATGATTAGTGGGCTTTGGTAATTGCGCCTCGGCAATAATATTATGTAGTGGTCATATTCAATCCCGTGGCCTGACTATAAAATCGGGAAGCAATGTACAGAAAGTATCGGGGAGAAGCATATCCAAGAGACAACCCCCACACTATCCTCCCACAGAGTAAATTAATAAAAACTAACTAATAAATACCTCACTCCCCGGCTTTCTCTGATTGTTTTCCTCACACCAACCAGCCGCTAGCCCCAGATCCGGTGCTCGCCCGCCCACCGCACCGACCCCCATACTCCGTAGACTAGATACTACTCCATCTTTTCTCCGCGGGGAACTACGTCACTTCTTCGTTTCGGCCTGGGCTTGGCACCGCACGATCCAAATCTTGGTGTATCAACACCGTACTGTCTTCGACCGTCCTCGGGAATTTTCTTTCATTGCCATCTTCTCATTGCTCCTACGGACCGATCCCGGTAATACTAGTCACGTATTTAACGAACTAAGATAGATGGGTCTTTGTCCCTTTCAGTTTCCGCCCGTCTCCAGTCTCCATACTCCTCTACTGACCGGATTCTGGAGTATGTACTACGCACTTGTGGGGTAAAAAAATTAAAACAATTGAAAAGTTAAGCTGAATTTGGCACATAGAGGGTAGTACTCGGTCAAAAAAAATCTATGGACCCGAGGGTCCTCTTCATCGTTAACAGCTCTTGTTTACTGCCGATGATTAGCCGTAGAGAAGGAAGGTCTGTAGTTTTCACTTTTGATTCTGGATTGCTCGGTGTCTTCTACTCTATTCTTTTGCCGGCTTTATTTCTCATCGGCTCTTCGTGCTTCTCGGCTTTTGTTTCTAATTTTCATTTATTTTCCTCTCTCATAATCTCTTGCTAGCAGCCTAGTGCGTTTATCCATACTGTCGTCACTCGGTTTCAATAGTCTCCCCCTCCGGTCTCTGTCAACTGTGATTAGAACATTGCAGAAGGGCTAGGATCCAGAAGATGATGGACTATCTACCATCTAGGGAGCAAAAAGACGTTCCATTTACTAACTACACTGCAGTTAGTAGATATGGGATGGTGTTTCAACAACATTGTCGAACCGCTGGCCTATGTGCCCTCTGGGGAGCAGAATGAACTTTCATTTCTTGTTGTTTCTCTTGTCCCAGTATATCTCCCGCTTTGAGGGATGTGCGTACAAAATCGTGTTGCCCTGACAGGCCATTTTTAATAGTTGTCTTTACCGTGCAGCGCATTTCTGTACGTTTGAGGGCATACTACTCGGCGAGCCAGGGTCGAAACCATAGACGCATGCTTGCTAACTGGATTAAATACGAACGGCACTGGAATAATCTATTGAGTCTATTGAAGTCGGTTTCAAGATTATTATTATGGGACCTGGTCGCACTGTGTATACTTGGTACCTCGATGTAGGGCGTAACACGTGATCGGTGATATGTCACTGTTCAAACTCTGATTGGCTGAGCAGAGCAAATGTCCAGAGGTGGCTAAGGTATCTATAAACCATTGTCTCTTAGATGTAATCCAAATCTGCTGTACTTTTCTGCAGTATTCTTCTTACTGGTGCCGCAATAACCTTTATTATTTGTGGTTTCCTGTCGCATCCTTACCTTGGTACTCAATGTCCCAAGAAAAAGATTCTCCAACCGATCCAGAAACCGGCTGCACCACGACAGAATGCCAATGCGATAGTCTCGATGCAGAATATGAGGGACCAACCTCGGCCTTCAAGAAACTGGCCATCCTTGACCGTTTTCTCGCCCTTTGGATCTTCCTTGCCATGGCGGTTGGGATCATTCTGGGAAACTTCGTGCCGAATACAAGCAGAGCATTAGAAAAGGGGAAATTCGTGGGCGTTTCGGTGCCCATAGGTGAGTATATCATTACTGGCTCAAGATATTTCGCTGAAGCAATATCAGCCATCGGTTTGCTCGTTATGATGTATCCGATCCTATGCAAGGTCCGGTACGAAACTTTGCATCGGTCTCTCAGGGAACGGGCACTTTGGATCCAGATTGGGTTCAGTATCGTTGTGAACTGGGTCGTAGCTCCTTTTTTCATGGTGAACTCTTACAATAAGACCCTGGACCATGAGTATTCCTTGACTGACAAATAGCTCTAGCTTGGTTTAGCTTGGGCGTTTCTCCCTGATGAAAGAGGGCTCCGCGAGGGACTTATTCTGGTAGGAATCGCGCGATGCATTGCTATGGTTAGTGTGGTCCCTTCTTCAAGGACATCCTTCGTATATAACAGGCTAACAAAACCCCAGGTCCTAGTTTGGATGGGACTCGCCGGCGGGGATGGCGAATACTGCGCGATTCTAGTCGCTGTCAACTCGATCCTGCAGATGGTTCTGTTCGCACCAATGGCAATATTCTTCATTCGAGTGATCGGTGGCTCTGACGATGGTTTGAGCATTGACTATTCCTTGGCTGCAAAGAGCGTCGGGGTGTTTCTCGGGATACCGCTAGGTGCGGCGATTGTCACTCGGTTCGCACTGCGACTTCTGCTTGGCAGGGAGTGGTACGATCGACACTTCCTAAAATGGATTGGACCTCTATCACTCATCGGTCTCCTGTTCACCATTTTGGTCCTTTTCGCTTCGCAGGGAAGGCAAGTTGTGCACCAGATCGTGTCCGTGATCCGGGTAGCTGCCCCGCTGATCGTATACTTCGCGGTTATCTTCATGGTCACTCTGGCCGTGACGCGACGCTGTGGCTTCGGATATAAACTATCGTGCACCCAAAGTTTTACTGCGGCTAGTAACAACTTTGAGCTGGCGATAGCGATGGCGATATCGACATTTGGTGTAGATAGCGATCAAGCTTTGGCCGCGACGGTTGGGCCCTTGATCGAAGTTCCTGTGCTTCTGGGCCTAGTATATTTAGTCAAGTGGCTTGCGAGGAGGCAAACATGGACCTAGCAGACCCCTCGTAGTGCCTGACTAAAGACTCAAAGAAAGAGGTGGATTGATAGATATCGGATCAATTCAAGACAGACCCATCTCAGTTGTTGCTGATTTCATCCAATACTTGAAACAAAATTTGGTTTTGGACTCTGCATCCTTCGTCGGTTGTAAGACCCTTGGAGAAGCCAGACCATAGCTTTCTTCGAATCTCGACGACATCCACGCCGCGCGTGTTGTACTGGTTGATTAGCTCCTCGGCAATCGCACAGAGCGTAGTATTGAGAATATCTTCGTTAGTGGGCCAGGATTTCTCGTTTTCGGCAGGAGCGCAGCCGCAGATGGTCTGGTCTTGATATGCCGGTTTCTCGAATCTTTCAGCAAAACCAGTCAGGTGAGTTGCTTTCAAAAACTCCGAATCGCCCTCAGATAGATATTGTTCAGGGAGCCTCCCCGGCTGCGCATCGACGATATCTCGCTCGCTCTGTGATGATGCTCCCAAACGTGCGGTGATTACTGCTTCTTGGTGCTTTGAATCAAACCCGGCCTCAACTGGCCGAATTGGAGATATGGCAACTTTCTCCGTCATGACCGGATTACTGCCTGCACGCAAATAGCTATCAATTTCGCTTGATGCTAAACCCAAGTGGGCCAAGAGACGTCGTAATCTAGTATTTTCGGCCTCGAGTTTCTGGACCGCTAGCCGGTGCTCAATATCCTTGCGTCGAAGGTGCTCCTGAAATGATGCTAGCTTCTGCTCCAAGTCACGAATATGCTCTTGCTTCTTCGCCCGACTCTTTCGTTGGTTCTCGCGCACTCGCTCACGACGGTCGATTTTCTGGACAATCAACAGTTAGTCATTACCACAGCCACGAAACAACCATGAGTATAACCTTTGCGGGATTTTCAGGGCCCATTTCTAAATCCAGGTCAAGAGGATCAAGAATCAAGCAAGATCAAGGTTGGTTGGTTGGTTGTATTTTACGGCCGCAAGATCAAGGGAGAGCCCAGCCTTTGCAAGGATAAGATGAGTCAGCACATATGTCACGTGGTAAGTTAACTAGTTAGTTATAGGGAATTGCTAAGGACACCCCAACTTTTTACTAACGGCACCCGGGAATTGTGACGAACTGACCAAGGCTTACTATATAGAGCGATGCGCATACCAAGTCGAAGACTTGGTATTCTGGTCTTTTTAGTAGCTCAGTTGGTAACTGTCCTACTAAACGGTCTTGGCGGGTAGAAGCGCACCTACTCACTGCCAAGCCCGTGACAGGAATTGCTAAGGACACCACGGTTTTTTGCTAGTTAGTTAACGGCACCAGGGAATTGCTAAGGACACTCCCACTTTTGCTAGAGACACTCTTAATTAACTATGTAATACCAGTGATTATGTAATATAATTATCAGCTGATCTGTATCTGAAATACTATAGCAACAGCATTCTTACGTTGTTTTCTTCTTCCTACCTACTACTGCCCTCAAAGCAATGGAACCCCCAGTTGAACAAGCTTTTGATAACAGAGAGCTTCTTATAGCTTCTGTTCGTCAGCATGCTTTATCACAGGGCTATGCTACAGGGGATATGCTTATCGTCTTTGAAAGGATTTCGCAAGCTTTACAAGCCCAGCATACAACGCTACAATACGAGTTTTCAAGAGACCAAATTGAAAGGCCAGTAGTACCATTATATCAACTTTATACTAACATAATGACTAGGGCCTCTCGATATTCGATTCAACGAATCAGTGAGCAAGTTTCGAAGGCTAAAAGAGCTACAAGTCTTGCACCTTTACCCCCGTGTACGAATACATTCACAAGGACGATGGGCCTCCCTTGTGCACACCGGATTTCTAGTCTGTTGAAGAGTAATGAAGCTATTCCACTGACTGATATCCACCCGTTTTGGAAGACTGGACTTTGTGAGGTTCAATCGGAATACCTTCCACTCTTAGAGCCTCTCATGCCTTTACCTAGGCCTAAGAAACGGAAGGTAGATCAATTAGAGAAAAATGAAGAGGGAAAAGAGGTTGAAGCTATACAAAAGCGAAAGAAGGCACCGTCAAAGTGCACTGCATGTGGAAAAATGGGGCATACACGGAGGTCATGTAAATAAAACTGAATTTCGGATACAGATCAGCTGATATTTATATTATACAATCACTGGTATTACATAATTAGGAGCGTCTCTAACTAGCAAAAGTGGGAGTGTCCTTAGCAATTCCCGGCTGGGCCCAGGCAGGGCGTGTAAGACAAAGGGTGTAGACTACACCGTGTACTCCGGATTCATATCTCTGGTTTAGCAACAATTCTCAGTATCAGGCTACCCCTCAGTGACTGTCAAGTGTCAACAGCTTCAGAGCAGGTGGAGTTGGTCTCAGATCCGCCGGGAAGATCCATGGAGCCCTCAGCCGCCATGCCGTAATCGAACCACCGCAGCTGCAAGACGTCACTAGCCGTCAATTACTGAGGTATGCGATCGCTCCCTTAAACCCCGTCTCTTCTTCTGCTTCTTCGCACACTCTCGATCTTGGCGCTAACCCTCAACTCCTTAGCAAACCTGTCCTCTCGGCAGCTGCGTACACCAAACATTGCCCGCCCGCAGTTCGTTCTGAATCGAGCACCCCGTCATGGTCTCCACGCGACACCATCCGCGCGATTTCCCGCCTCCCTCGAGCGCAAGATCGTCGTCGCCCCCCTCGTCGCCGTCCGCCGGCGCCAATGGGAATGGGAACGGGAAAAAATGGATGCATACGCCCTCCGCGGCCGTGACCCTTTGGCTCCTGGTCTCGGTACCCTTGGTCGTCTGGGACTCCAGTTACGTTCTGTTGCGCCCGCACAGCATGCCGGGGAACAAGCTACATTCGCCAATCTGGACCCCGTATGCGCTTTACGGCACCATCGATTATATCTACGGTTTGCCGGCTTTCAACGCTCGGAATGGCTTTACCGCCGCGCAGACCGTCCTGAACGTCATCGAGACCATCGCCTACATCTACTACCTCGTGACGGTGTATAGACATGGAACTACGGCAACCGCCGGCGGCCGCGCATCGCAGCGCAAAACGAAAAAGGGGCTGTTGTGGCTGCTGAAGGAAGAAAAGGTGCTTCCGGGGCGCACGGGAGCGAATGCGCTTCTGATCGCGTACAGCGCGTCGGTGATGACACTCGGCAAGACTCTTCTGTATTGTAAGTCCGGGAAGGTTATGGGTCAATTAGCGTCGCATTCACGGCTAATGATGAGGGGATGTAGGGTTGAATGAATTCTTCTCGGGCTTCGAGAATATTGGACATAACGATGCCGTCACCTTGATCTTCCTGTGGATTATCCCCAAGTAAGCGCCCTGCTCTCCCCTGTCCCTTCTGAGGTCAACAATTAACAATTTTGGCAGTGGACTATGGATTGTATTCCCCGCCTATAACCTCCATGTCCTTGGTGAGGAGATTGTATCCTCGCTGGATGGACTAGCGCCGCGCCAGCGACCGGGACGGCCGAAGTCATCATAGAAGGTCTTGGGTAGGAAGAATTGGGTAGAATATAAGGTGTGGCTTACTTGACACATCTAACTGAATTTAGCAGGCTTGGTATAACCGATCATGAAATAGGGAACTGTGTTAATACTTAGCCTTGATCGGGGTGGACTGCGACGTGGGAGGAATACGAGCTGGGGAGGCGAATGGACAGTCCAGGCTATACGAAGTCTATTATGATATATCGGATACCATATAATTATAGGTAGTAATCTAATATACCATCTGTCTATATACTTTAAATTGGAAGAGTCAATTACTCGAGACGCCCCAAATGTCATGACATCAGCGACCTCGAGTCCGCCCTGCAGCCTACATTCGAGGGCACCAACGCCGGCAATTATAAGGTCCTGAACCTACCAAAAAGCTCCACTAAGATTCCAAGCAGACTTCCGACAGGTCCCCAGTGAACAATTAAATTCATCGAGAGAAGAGAAACACTAGGGGTCATCGACGGTTCGTCCAATGACGTCGCTGCTGAACAACCCCGGAATTGCGACGACGTTGATTTGGCTCGAAGGGAATTCAAATCGCTTCCATACACCTTCCACAGGACATTGCTGTCTTCTGCTACAGCGGCCGATTTCATTTCGAGCCGAGGGACTCACACACGGACTGGTGAACAAGTGAACTGCATGTCGAGCGCGGAGAAGCTCGCAAGTAATAATGAGCGACGCCAAGCCTTCCCCATACCCACCAGATTCGACCGCCTCATCCCGCGATTTCGTGTCGTCTCTCTCCCCAGAGCAGCTGCCCCAAGCGCACCACGCCTGGTCCTTCCCCCTCTCCCCCGTCCCCATCCTACCGAACGATGACCCCGGCCTCGATTTTGGGGTACCCGCGCCCGGCCTGATGCCTCCCGAGTCCGACGAATCCCCCCTGGCCTCCTCCGTGGGAATGGCCCTGGGCCATGACGATGCCGGCCTCCCCGACGACCTCGACACCCAGAGTCGCGCCAGCTCGCCCGACCCCGGCAGCATTCCCACCGCTGGCGACTCCGGCTTTCATCTCCCTGAGGATGATGGCCAGGACCGTCCGCGGGAGGAGGATGGGAGGGATGACCCCGCAGCGAGCGACGAGCAGAAGAACGACAATGACAATGACAATGACAATGACAACGACAACGAAGCCGGAAAGCCCGCCTGGAGTGAGTTGAAGACGAAGGCTGGCAAGGAGCGAAAACGCCTGCCGCTGGCGTGTATCGCGTGCCGACGGAAGAAGATTCGCTGCTCCGGTGAGAAGCCCGCGTGCAAGCATTGCTCTCGCTCGCGGATCCCATGCGTCTACAAGGTCACGACGAGGAAGGCTGCGCCGCGGACGGATTACATGGCCATGCTCGATAAGCGGCTGAAGAGGATGGAGGATCGCGTGATCAAAACGATCCCGAAGGAAGAGACGCGCGATATGGCGGCCATCGGCCGGTCGGTCGTCCGCCCGCCGCAGCCAGGACAGAATTCGAAGAACCAGAAAAAACGGTCGGCCGATGAGGCCTTTGCGGCGGAGATGGACGGATGGACTCGTGAAGATCGCCGAGCACCGCAGGACACATTCCCGATGCGTCGGGAAGGCAAACCGGTCGATAGCAGTAACAACCTGTTGACGGAAGGGTCCGAGTTTTTACCCTCGTTGGAGATCCAGGAACATCTGGCGGAAGTCTTCTTTGACTGCGTCTACGGACAATCCTATCTTCTTCTTCACAAACCCAGTTTCATGCGACGGTTGAAGGCGCGGACGGTCCCGCCAGCCTTGATCCTGGCCGTCTGCGCCGTATCGGCGCGCTTCTCAACCCATCCGCAGATCAACTCCGACCCGCCGTTTCTGCGCGGAGAGAATTGGGCAAATCCCGCCGCGGCCATCGCCATGAGTCGACACGATGAGCCCAACATTACCATCTTGACCGTCTTTCTCCTTCTAGGTCTCCATGAATTCGGAACCTGTCATGGCGGACGGAGTTGGTCATTCGGCGGTCAGGCTCTTCGAATGGCGTACGCTCTACAACTGCATCGAGAGCTTGAATACGATCCGCTAATGAGTCAAAATAATGCCAATGGATCACAACTCAGCTTCACCGATCGCGAGATTCGGAGGCGGACGATGTGGGCGTGCTTTTTGATGGACCGTTACAACTCATCCGGAAGTCAGCGACCACCCATCGGGAACGAAAGGTTCTTGCAGATCCAACTTCCCATGAAGGAACCTAACTTCCAGATGGAAATCCCGGGGCCCACTGAAGACTTGGATGGGAATGTCCCCAACCCCGTTCCCGAGGATGCTGGGCAGTTGTCGAACGCCAGAGAGAATATGGGCGTGTCGGCATACATCATTCGTGCCGTGGTTATATGGGGCCGCATCGTTGACTACCTCAACCTGGGAGGAAAGAGGAAAGATGTACACCCACTATGGTCTCCTGAGTCAGGGTATGCACACCTCAAACGACAGATCGACGGGTTTTCTGAAACCCTCCCGACTCACTTGGCATTCACATACGAGAATCTGCAGATCCACGCCGCCGACAGGATTGCCAACCAATTTCTTTTTCTGCATATAATCATGCACCAGAACATGCTATTCCTCAACCAATTCGCGATCCCCTTGTCACCGGGCGGACGGCCTCCTCGGGACATGCCCAAGGCATTTTTGAGCAGTGCCGGACGAGCAGCCGTGGAGGCGGCGCATCATATCTCTGTACTAATAGACCGGGCTTCTGCCTATCCTCTGACCGTTCCGTTTGCCGGATACTGCGCATACTCAGCCAGCACCGTTCATATCTGGGGGATCTTCTCCAAGAATGCGCAGCTGGAGGCTCGGTCAAAGGAGAATTTACGACATACGTATCGGTATTTGAACAAGATGAAGAAATACTGGGGAATGTTCCATTACATGGTAGAAAGTGCCAAGGACCGATATCGACAATTCGCAGATGCCGCCATTAAAGGCTCGGTGGCCACTCAAAATGGCGGTCAGATCACGCCGATGTTCCAGTATGGTGACTGGTTTGACAAATATCCTCACGGTGTCTCGAGGCAGCACTGGGAGGATCCCGAATCACAACGCCAGGATAAGAATGACGAGGCCGTGATGAGCCAAAAGCCCGACCTTCAGAGCGTCGAGGACTTCTTCGCCAGCCTTTCCCCCTCCCCACAGGCCAGCATGACGCGGCGAACGCATGCCAGGAAGAGCAGCAAGATGGACAGCGTTCCGGGTATGGATCAGGCAACTCCCACGCAGCCCATGATGGACATGAATATGGAGGGCGCTCCGGGGATGCTGGGCACGTCAGGATCCGGCTTCCCACAACCCGCCATGTTCAACCAGGGTCGCGGGCAACTATTCGGACAGTCGCCTTTCGATTTCCCCGTTCCAACCGACCAACTGCCCCAGCTAGATCGGCAGTTTGTATATGGCTCGTTTTCCGGCTTTGACCCGGCCACCACATCCTTTGTTCCGCCCGAGACCTCTGCCATGTCGGCCGTCAACGGTGCGAATCCGCCTCCTCACCCTCCTCCTGCTCCTCCGCAGGACAACACTGCCATCTTTGCGAGCCAACTGGACCCCAACGCCCCGTCAGGGACAGGTGAATACTATCAGCCAAGCGCCTGGTTCCTCCCCTTCAACCTAGACCCGGTCAGCGCCGGCGTCAGTCTCGACGCGCATCCGTCGCAGCCCGCAGGTCCCGGTCCCGGTCCCGGTTCCGTAGCAGCTCCGGGTATGGACTTCGGTGGCGCAGGGAATCTCCCTATGGGCGCATACGACCTCGGAATGGCCGGGGTACCTCGAGCGCCCAAATATGAATAAAACACGACTATGTGATGTACGGATCGGACCTCACGCGGGACTCACTTTACATTTTGCTCGCTTTTTTCGCCCTTCTTCTATATATTGCGTTTTTCTGTATTTGGCGAGGGTGCAGGATGGAATGGGATTGGTCTGGTGTGGTTTTCTGGAAAAGACGGAGTTTATCATTTTCGCGACAGTAGCGTTGTTACCTTGTCTTGTATGTACCCTTTACCTTACCTCTACCTCTTTGTATATTGTGTATATCCACTTCTTTCGTGCGTTCTGTCTCTAGTTGGGTTATATATGGTATACCGAATTACATATCTTTCTCCTTTCAGAATACTTAGATTCCAGAACAGAGCGAGGAAATCAACTAAATAGTAGAGCAGACCATTGACATATATTCACCAAGAGAGTCCCACTGTTCTGGACAGATCATGCGACAAATAGTCATGCCATATCCTCTGCAGACAACCCAAAAGGATGAGATGTAGTTACCTCCACAAAAACACCAACCCAACCCCTCCCAACATCAGCCATTCAGACACAAAAAGGATATATAGCACCGTCTTCTAGACACCCAGCCCAAAAACATGGGGATGAAAAGAATGCATCATCCGTGAATCGAACACGGGCCTCGTCGATGGCAACGACGAATTCTACCACTAGACCAATGATGCTAGTTGATATAAAAGTGTAACTACTTTGCATAGATTATCCACAACGCAACTGAAGCTAGAGCAACTATCCGGACAACTGACTGACCAAGATCTGGCAGTTGCTGAAGACCTTCTTGTCAGCATCAGTTGGCAGCGCCTTCAAACCCCGTTAGCGGCTTCCCGCGCGCGGGGGTTCATGCTGAATTTTGGATCTGGGAATGTGTAGAGAGAACCATACACCACCCACTGTCCCCTTCTTCATTCCTGGATATTTATTTCAATTTAAGAAAAGAGCAAGCCATCCACTTTATCCATACTACAGACCCCCACTCCGTCTACCTATACAAAGCACGGAGAGAAGACACAGACACAGACCCACCTCGCATCATGGACTCCAACATGAACATGAACATGCAACCCGCCACAAGTTCCACAACCAATCTCCGATAGCGACGACGCAGAGAGCTACAACGCAGACTGATCATCGCAGCGGTCGGCGTGGTCGTGATCGCGATAATTACGACTATACAGATAGAGCGACAGAGGGATCGTAGGGATAGGAAAGGAGGGAGAGAAGAAGAAGGAGAGGAAGGGAGGAGGAAGAGGCGAGGGGGAGAAGGAGGAGGGAGGATGACGAGGAGATAGAGGAAGAAGCGAGGCGTCGGCAGGATGTTCTGGCTAGGAGGAGGAGAGAAGAGGAGGCGGCGCGCCTTCGTGACGTTCAGATTAGAAGATGGAGAGAGGAGGTGGAGGAAGAGGAGATGTGGCTTCGAGATGCTCCTCCGGTGAGGAGGTTGCGGTTTGATTAACGGTTCTGTTCTGTTGTTCTCTTTTCTCTTTCTGGGGCTGGGGAGTTGTTTAGGGGGCTGCTCTTCTGGCGATGGGACATAGGGAGAAATAGGCAAGAGCTATTGCTTGTCTACTCTACGGAGTGCTATCGGCGTTATAATCTCAACTCACATACCATACTGCAGCTGCTCATCATAATACAGGCTACCCAAAATGAAGACAATCAGTCGAGTCAAATACATGACGCCCAAAACATAGAATAGAACCCGACGGACACCCAAGAGAACATAACTGAAAGAAAAAGAGAAAAAAAAAAAAAAAAAAAAAAAAAAAGAATTGACAAGCGAAACAGGTCTATCGAGGATGGGGTTTCAGAAAAGTAAGGAAAAAGAGATGCGCAGGGACTGATCCTGAGAAATGCCATAAATCCATCAACCCCTTAATCCTCCCATTGTTCGTCCAGCTGGTCTATTAGCCGGTTCTCGGCGTCTATGCTGGACCGTCGGCCACGATGCATACTGCCATTGCTGCGGTGGCTGAGCGCAGGGGATCGTCGGCAGCGGAAGAGGCGGCCTAGAGAGGAGACGAGGATGACGACCATGTCCTGGATTACGGATGGTGGTTAGCGGTGTCGTTATAAGCCTGGTTCATGGGGGAAAGCAAAAGACAGAAGAAGCAATAATGATGGGAAAATCAGCGCGAATGACTTGGTCATAGAACAAGACTCGCTCTTTCTCTCAATGTATGTGCTATTGAAATCAGCAGACGCAGTCCGCTGGTATATGACAGAAAACATGCCGAAATAACCAAGGTTAATCCCATGTTCAACGACATAGGTATACACAGACTCGCTTTATATACCCCAATCTATAGACGAATAAAGAAAGGAAATAAACGAAAAATCAAGCAACAGCAACCGACTTCCTCGATGTAATTGAGCTTTAGACCAGCCAAAGCAGGATTCAATCCATCCGCGAAATTGGTAACCGTGGGTTGCTATGTTCTTTGTAGGAAGCCCCATGGGCTCTGGAGCCATAAAACGGTATCAACGCCAATAGACTTACTTTAACAAAATCGAGCATCCCCGCCCAGAGGCTAAAGTTCGGACATTGTCGCCAGCCGCGCTGGTGCATGACCGTCCGCTGATAGGCGCAGCCACCGATGAGGTACGCAGCGACAGCAATCAGAGCACTGCAAGAGTTAGTCACCCGTGCATCATCCGTCAAAAGAAAAACAGTCCAGACTCACATCACACCGAAGATGCCGGCGGGTCCCAGACCCTCGCCGCCGTCGGTGCGGGCAATGCCACCACAGGCAGCAGCGCTCCGAACCTCGAAGAAATATGTGCAGTCATCCATAGTTCCGACGAAGGATGGAATCGCCTGCGATCCCTGAGCATCACGGTCACATAGGAAGGACATGATGGTGGACTTGTTGCGCGAGCCATTCCCGATGTATTCGCCCGCACATGGAGATCCCTCGGTGTAATTCAAGACCAGCTTGCGTCCGCGGAAGAAAGGCTCGTTTGCTTGTTGCCTAATGATCACCAGTCAGTTTCCTTCCACTCCGGCAAAACGGACACGTGTATCCGCCATGTTCCGGATGTGTACGCACCCTATCGAGTATATCTTGTCTTCCTTCGTGTAGTAGGCACTAATATTCTGCCATCGTTCGGGCTCAATCCCCACCACATTAGTGATGTTCTCCACCACCGGAGCGCAGACATTCAGCGTGAAATTTGCCGAGTAGTCGTGGCCTTTGGCGTGCCAGCTTTCTTCGCGGGTGGTTTTGCGAGACTTTTCGTGGTCGGAGCCGGACGGGGAAAGAGAGATAGCGTTCAGATCGTAGTAGAGACCGGAGGTTGGAGAGCGTGCGACGCAGGGAGAAAGAGCATCTTTCGATCCGGACTCTGAAGCTGCGTAGACCGACGAAATGGGGGCTGAGAGCAAGTATAGAAGGCTAAGAATTGAAGAGGTCGGCGACTTCATGTTGGCGGGATGAACCCCAGCGATGCGCCAGGAGCGATGAGCGACGATAACAATAAGATAACAGGGGCTGGAAGGAGAGCCGGGACGGTGTGGAGACGGTAAATGACAAAGAATTGGAAGGTCCAAAGAGAGAAAAGAAAGAAAGAAAGACGGCGGTAAGGAGTAAGGACCGATAGGATAAGATGGAGGGAAGAAGGAGGCCGAGGAGGAGGTGATGCAACGTAATCAAACCTCCCTCTCTCTACCACCTCCTCCGAACTGCTTGTGAAAATCCGCGGACCCCGTCGGCTGTGGCGCATCCGATCTCAGCTCAGCGCGCGCACCTGGCGATTTTCTGTTCCTGTCGCTCTTTATAATCCTCGCTTTGGTCGAGACAGCTCTCGTCTATTGCCTCCTGGAGCATTGTCTCATCCCTCCCACTTGATCTGCGGCACGCCTGCGACAGCTTTTGCGTCACCGTCGAACCTCTCCGCCAATCGCTTTCAGATCCCACAAACACCGGAGTATCCAGTCGAAAATGGGGTCCAAGAAAGATTCAAAATCCAAAATCAAGGTTCCTGTTCAGCCGGTCCCTGAGAAACGCGGTTACGAGTTTGCTGGCCCGTACGTGCTTTGCCCACTTTTTAGATCCTCGAGTCCCAAAAACTAGAGAGCTGACGATGATTTAGAATCGGCGCGTTTGGAATTGTATTCGGTCTTCCAGTCCTCATCTACAGCTTCACCTTCCTGTGTAACGATGTCTCCGGCTGTCCTGCCCCGTCGCTGCTCCACCCCTCCACCCTGACTCTCGATCAATTGAAGAAAGAAGTGAACTGGCCAGAGGAGGGGCTCAGTGCGTTCTTTGACGCCCAAGTGACGCTGTGGGTGCTGAGCTACTATCTCCTCAGCCTGCTTCTCTATGTCTTCTTGCCTGGTCAGGAGATGGACGGCACGGTGCTGGCCTGTGGCGGAAGACTCCGATACAAGTTCAATGGTGGGTGCTTTCCTCAATGTGGTCTTTTATGAGAGTTTATCTGACCGAATCTTTCAAATAGCTTTCAACTCCGCCGTCACGATTCTTTCCGGATGCGCCCTCGGTACTTACGTGTATGGAGCCGACTTTGTCGTTTGGACATTCCTCTGGGACAATTACTTGCAGGTAATCACTGCGAATCTGGCGATCAGCAGCGCTCTTGCTCTTTTCGTTTATGCGAAAAGCTTCACGGTGCCGGCGCCCGGTCAGCTCAACCCCGAACTCAGGCAATTGGCCCCGGGCGGCCACACAGGCAACGTGCTGTATGATTTCTTTATCGGTCGTGAGCTGAACCCGCGAGTTCGACTGCCGCTCCCATTTGTCAGCGAAGCGTCGCGTACCATCGATATCAAGTCCTGGTTTGAAATGCGGCCCGGATTGCTAGGATGGATCATCATGAACTTGTCCAACATTGCTCGTCAGTACCGGACCTATGGCTACGTCACCGACTCGATCGTGATCTCCACGTTCTTCCAGGCATTCTACGTCCTAGATGGCCTGTACATGGAACCGGCGCTCCTGACCACTATGGACATCATCATGGATGGGTTTGGCTACATGCTCTCATTTGGTGATATTGTCTGGGTTCCCTTCATCTACAACTTCCAGACCCGATACCTGGCGATGTTCCCCTTCCAATTGGGCGCCAAGGGAATCTTGCTTGTGCTGAGCGTGACCGCCGCAGGCTACATTATCTTCCGCGGTGCCAACAACCAGAAGAATCGCTTCCGCACCGACCCGACCGACCCTCGCGTGAGCCACATCAAGTATATCAAGACTGCCAGCGGATCTAAACTGATGACTTCGGGATGGTGGGGCTATGCGCGCCATATCAACTACCTGGGTGACTGGGCCATGTCGTGGTCGTACTCGCTGCCTACCGGGATCGCGGGCTTTACCGTCATCGAGAGCATCGATGCCGCTACTGGAGACGTTCATAAACAGGCGGTGCAGACCCCTGAGACCCGTGGTTGGGGAATGATTTTCACCTACTTCTTCTTGATCTATTTCGGAGTGCTGCTCATTCACCGGGAGAGACGCGATGAGGAGAAGTGCAAGAGGAAGTATGGTGCTGATTGGGACCGGTATACGTCTCTGGTTCGAAGTCGCATTATCCCCGGCATTTACTAATCGGCGAAACTCTTGGTTTTCTCTGGATTGTCTTCGACACCAATACTCATGGTGACTTATCTTGTTTAATATTTTTTGATGAGAAATTCCGTACTTAATCTTTAACATTAGCAGTACATATCAACCTGAAACTTGTTGATATTGAATTGACTCTTTAACTCTTTAAGCACAAGAAGTAGATGGGTATATTATATGATTTTCACTAGCTAACTCGTAGCATGCAATGTAGCCATTAGCTCATCCAGCATTGATATATCCTCTGCACGACTTCATCGTTTTCGCTTCTTTGGATCAACCAAAACATCCAATCCCCAACCCGCATCGTCTGCATTGGATACCCAACCCCCCAGGACCCTCTTCGCCTCCTGTATCGCCAACTTTCGCGCCGTGATGGCCGCCGTCTCCGCAGCGGGAGTCTTTTTGAACTCTCGATACGTAGCGGCCTCAACAATCCCCGTCGGGACAGGTAGCGCCTCTAACCTCCCCTCTTGCTTGCTCGCATTGCCTTCTTCATTAACGGCTTCCGGATAGGAAACCCGGACAATCTCCCTCCAACTCCCCCATAACTTTGCACGGGACAGTGCTGACGCCCCGCGAGCCAGGGGCGCCGAGGCCTTATTCCCCTGCTTCACTCCATTGATGATATTCTCGTACAGACCCGTCTTGGACCCCCGAAGAACGGGCAAGGATTTCACACTAGTATCTACAATCGCTGGCACTCCTGGACTGGAAATCGGAGTCGACGGTGCTGCCGTCCAAACCACCGAGATGATCCCGGGCTTGCGCTTCTCTTGCACTTCCACCTCTTCAGATGAGCCGATGCGGGCCTGAGTCTTCCCAAACTCCCATAGTGAATCGTACTTCTCATCCGGGATCGAGAGGACCTGAAACGGACGGAATTGATATCCAGATCTCTTCGAATCAGGTTCCTCCTCCTCACCATCATCAAGAGGCCAAAACCGACCCGTTAGATCCTTCAATCGTCCCTTCTCACTGAACGCTCGCTGGCAGCCAGCTTGGCTGATTTCCTTCTCGGGGAGAATCACACCAGCCAGGTAGGCCGACTCCGTGGGTGCAACGAGCAGGCTCGTCTCGAAGGATAGCAGCGATGAGATCTGTCTCAGAGCTAGCTTGTCTGAGCAGGATTTACTCAGGGTGGCGTCGGCGTCGGCGCGGGCGGGTTTGCGACGGACGATGCCTAGACGGGAGAAATGGCCTCGTCCGTCTAGGAGCGTGGGCTCCTGTTCTTGCTCTTGCCCCTGGGGATTGGAGTCCTTGTTTGGAGGATTGTTGATCTCCCAAGGCGTGGGGTCGTCTTGTGCGGCCATGCAGAGCTCCATGCTGGCGTCGCCGCAGGGAGCGCAGGTGCAATACATGTAAATTGTGATGTCGGGATGTAGTTCAAATGGGGGTTGGGGGGATGAGGATTGTTCAGGTGGGTGCTGCTGTCTGCGACGGAGATATGGGGATTTTGTTAATGAGATGGAGGGTCCTGTGCTCTCATCTGAGTGGTCTTGATGTCGTTCATTTGCTAGAACGCTGCGACATTCGGAGAGGAGCCAGTAGTTGAATGCGCGCAGGGCAAGAATCTCTGCGTGCCAGTCATGGAGCACGAGGCCCTTGCAATTGGGGACTTGGGAGGCAGAGAGACATTTTGCCCCGGAACTGGGATATGAGTTAGAAGGGATGCATTAGTTGAGTATTCGATCCGATGAAGGAAACTTACGTGACAGCCACGCAGGTCAGCTTTTCGGAGGATGTATTCTCGTCTATGGCATGGATTAGTCTGATATAGAACTTCAGAGAGTATGGACTTCCAACTAGGGTAGAATAGCCATACAAGCAGACAGTGCAAGGGATAATCACCTTTCACTATCACGATTCCGGACATGGGAATCCACTCCTTCGTCCCATCAGACCGCACCGTCGGCTTACTGCGACTAGGCAAGCCATCGAAACGGGCATGAACCAGGGACGCTACACGAGACGGCAATGATGAAACCAGATCTGGTTTCTCCATGAATGTCCACAACGTAGTCCAAATTGTACATCTACCATAGATCAATGTACATCCAGATCAAAGCCAGATTTTCTTATATACCCGTCGATCCATGTCACGTGATGCTCCCCCCGACTCAACCCAATCGGAACTTCAACCATCCACATCCTCTTAACACTCAATTAGCCTCCTCTTCACCGAAACCACCAGATCCGAATCCACACCATTAATCATGGCCGACAAATTGCGCACGCTTCAGAACCTCGAGGCCATGCAGGCTCGCTACGTCGGAACCGGCCACGCCGACACCACGAAGTACGAATGGACCTCGAACATCGTTCGCGACAGCTACGCCTCGTATATCGGACATCCGCCGATGCTATCGTACATGGCTGTGGGCATGGGCGAGCCCAAGGAGAAGGTTCGCGCGGCGATGATTGAGAAGATGGTGCGAGGCGCGGGAAACCCGCCGGAGGTGAGTTCTTCTCTTGTGTCTTCGTTCTGGTCTTGTTCTTTAAGCGCGAGATGGCTAATATTTGTGCTTGTTGATCAGACGCAAGAATAAGGGACGCTGATGCCGGATGACTATGTCTTTTATCTTTACGACGAGGCTACGATCGCATTCACTGGGGCGTAAACGATAACAATAGTCGCATCAAGACGAGACACACCCACCTACTATACTCATCATACGTGAACGGGCCTCGTTTTTTTTCACATCTGTCGATGGAATGGTCTCTTGATATAGACATACTAGTCGAACTTGGTGCTCCGGAAATACTACATGATGCTAGTCGCAGGTAGTACCCACAATTTCGTGAACATTCGACTGATGACGACTGGGGATGTTGGTCGATGGGGGAGATCTTCACACTTGCGACTGGAGGAGAAGCCTCAGTGGTGGGCTGTATTTAACTGATACTTAATATCTCTAATGGGATGGGATTATATGAATCTCGTGAGCCGATGCACATTTGGTACTTAGCATCAGAATGGAACCAGATTTAACGATATACTACAGTTGCTCAATATCTTTCTATAGCACTAACTTTGGCACCAACCTTATTTCTATTGAACAGGCTGTCCTGAATAAGCATACTGGATTCATTGATAGCTATCTGATGGGCATCCCGTAGGAATCCTCCGGTAACGAAGCTGCAGGTTCCACAAGTAGCTTTGTTCTTATTAAACAAGGTTAGAGAAGTACTTATGGGACATATCAATACCGAAGAAGTCAGTCAAACGCTTTGCTAGTATTAAATTCGTAAAGAGGGTATTCCATGGAATAAAGAAATATTCAGTGAAACAAAAGATTACTCTGTAAAAATAAATAACATCCCTCGAAAGAACATGCTTTCCTATGACATTGGCATTGGCGATCTCTTTGTTGACCAGTCTGTATAAATAGGGTTATATTCCCTATAGATAGATTCATCATCGTCTTCATCATCATCGTCTTCACTCAACTCAATCGCATCTCTTCTACTACCGTGTGTCCTCTGTCCATCCAACACCAAAGGAAATAGACCATCGCGCTTATTCACCTTCACCCAATCCTCCGATTGTTATTGAAAAAAAATCCCCATCACGCTACTTTTAGATCTCCCCAATGAGCTCCTCTATGACATCGCTGGCTTGCTCGAATACGCCGATGACGCTAGTGCCTTCTCACGGAGCTGCCATTTTCTCTATTCTCTCATCAATGACACCCTAGTTGCGCGCTACGCCAAGGGCCTCGAGCAAGAGGCCATTGAATATGCACTGGAAATCGGCGACCATGTTCTCATGGAAAGTCTCATCAACGTAGGCGTGGATCCTCTGGCTGGCTTGGGAGGAAAGGAATCGCAAGAAGTTGATTTATAAGGCTGCAGGAGCTGGCCACACGGAGCTGGTCCGGCTTTTACTTGACCGCGAGATTAACGGTGTTTATGATGCTTGGTTCCTTGAAATGCCGCCTACACATGCCCTTCTACATGAACATTGGGAGACAGCGAGACTACTAATGTCTTATGGGGCAGATCCCGATTACAAGATCGAGCCCTACGAGTGGAGCCAAACCGCTCTCGCCACTATGGCGCACCGAGGATCCCTGGAAGGCCTGCGATTTCTAGTCGAGAATACGAAGTCGACTCTAGAGGTGCGCGGTCCCCATGGCAGAACCCTCTTGCGAGTGCCGCTTATTCTGGGCATTTGGATATTGTAAAATATCTATTCTATGCAGGGGCAGACCATCGGACAAGGGATGATCATGGGCTGAGCGCCCTGTTCCATGCGGCAGCTAGAAATGATGAGGGCGCCTTTCTGTTTCTGTTAGAAAAGGAGGAAGAGCCTGACTTCTTCAATGAACAACTAGATCTGGATTCTTTGGCCCACGTAGCCTCGGGAGGAAATGTCCAGACTACGAAATTATTGCTAGATAGGGTCAACATCCCGGCGAAAATTGCGTCTTCTAGTTATAAACTGGGGCCGCTTATGTTTGCTTGTGCAGCGGCGGGATGCGATTCTTCTGTTCAACTCTTACTGGACGCAGGCTGTGATCCTACGGAGACATGAGAGCTAGGGGAAGGATTCTCCCTGGAAGACAACTCTCCCCTGCGGCAGGCAGCTGCGAGAGGCCATGAAAGTATCGTTCGGCGATTTTTACATTGCAGATGCATTCGAGCCAGGAAGGACACTGCTCGGCGTGGCCGTTGGAGGTTATCACCCTCGGGTGAAGGAATTGACGGAGCTCCTCCTGGAACTTGGTGCCAATGTGGACGCCACGGATAGCAAATCTGGAGAAACGGCATTGGTGCATGCCGTAAAGATTGGCAACTGCGACGCTGTCGATATCCTGCTTAATCACGGCGCCGACCTCCTTTTCAGAATCAACAAGTCGGAAGCCAGTGAGACGCCTCTGCATCAGGCCTTGGTCTCGCAGAGGAGTAGCTGCCTCCGAATTATACTAAAGGCAGTAGAAGCCAGGGGGCTACAGTGGGATATCAGTCCTGCCCTGCGTGAAGTTCGACAGTATAAGGACCGTCCAGATCCGATGGACAGGGAATTGTTGGGGCCTTTTCTGAATGACAGCGCTGAAGCTATTTTGAGCGGCGATATTGCACTGACTGGCAACACGAGCCCTGAGTGCGCTCGATTAGTGAAGTATCTGGTGCAGCACTATTGTCGGGTGAAGTATCCATGTCCCTTGTAGATCTGGACCACCGGTAGGGTTCGAAGCCAGTCAAGCGATCTGGGCTGCAGGAATTTTTTCACGGTTATTCAGTTATATTCAATTGGATCGATCTAAAATTAACACTATCATGGGAATGAATGTAGAACAAAGAGGTCTTACAGCAGGATGCTTGGTATATTGTAGAAAACGAAAAGCTGGATAGAGGCGCATTTTCTTAATCATATTTTGGCTTTTTCTGTATTATTCAAATTATGTTGAAGGTTTAACATAGAGATGTCAGTGTGGCCGAGTGGTTAAGGCGATAGACTAGAATGGATCATCATCTATCTCATCTATTGGGTTCGCCCGCACAGGTTCGAGTCCTGTCGCTGACGACGTTTCTTTTTTCTTTTTGGCCTATTCCTTCGATCCGGGGTAGGTTTTTTTTTTTTTTTTTTTCTTTTTCTTTTTTGCTCTCCTTACATGTGAATTGATATAAGCTTGTCACATCCAATTGTGTCTTCCTATAGCTTATGAAACTTTTCAGCTAACAGTAGACCATCTTTGCACACTGACCGGAGAGATATCAAAGTATCATCATACCCCAAAAAATATAGTGCGTATGTGTATACTATTCCTGCTCAACTTTCCGTCTCGACTAAGTCAATACAACATGAAATCCCTGTCAAATATTCCGGGTAAATGGAAGGGTTGCAATGTGCGGGAGGTACTCATAGTAGATGTGGCCTTCGCCTGGATAGTCCTAATAACCATGCTGACATGGACTCTTGAATCAACATACCGCAACAACTACGTAAGCGAATAATAAGATATCAGATGACGATTGGAGTTTGAGATCCGACTCGGAACAGACCAGAATTGCATCGCACCTAAATGGGATGGGATCGCATATCACCCCAGTATTAGCCTTCGCCTCGAAGTGAAATAACACCTTTGATCCGCGAGGCTTGCGTGCAACCATGCATATAGCTCAATCGGTCAAACAAAGCTCATCCATTATGCCCACTGTTCAATCCAATTCTTCCCACTGCGCTACCACGAAAACCTATCGCGTCCATTCACACGGCAACCGGGGAAACAGCCCTGGCAGCCGGGAAGAAAAAGTACCTCAGCAACACTCTACCTGAGCGGAAATCCATCCATCATCGACTCTTCTAGATGTCGAGAGGTCAGTTCGCACTTCCCTCGTCGAGAATCCCGCAACCGACCCAGATGAAACCTCGCGCAGGTCCAGACCCGTGACGTCAAGAGGCTGTCCGACGCGGGAATTGATATATCATATACTCAAACGGTGAACTCCCTCTCTCACCGTGTCCCCCGAGTCCAGCCGTGAAACCCCAGCTAATCCATATTGGTAGTTTGAGGCCACCCCAAAGCGGCTAGCAGAACAGCTGACCATTTCTGTATGCATTGTCAGCAGGTCAGGTGGGTCTCGAAATGCACCCCTCCCACCACCATGAGGCCTTTGGCTAGTCTAGCGTCGAGAGATATCCCTGAATGATGCATGTAACCGGCATGTCCACCAGTCAAGATCGTGGGGACGATGCCACTCGAAGCAAGAACAGGGGTACAGACCGAAATGAGGCATCCGCATTGGCCTCCTGCGTATGTATAGGCTTGTGCCCGGACTGAAGTCTGACTCGGGACGATTACTAGGGGTGGGAAGGGCGCTTAGACGCATGTCGGACGGGGTGGACAGGGAGGTAGGTACGAGGTAAGGTAGGTGCTGGACCTGTGTCTATCGACCTAGGACGATGGTATGATGCTGTAATACATTGTAAGGTCGCACGTAGTCGCTGTGTTGCCATGGTTATGGTTGGTATATACTGTGCGTTCATACATATCGCGGTGTGCATCACTGCTACATTGGGTTTCTTCAGGCCGGCGATTCGTTTAAGCTCAAAATCAATTCCGTATCCCTAATTACAAGGGGTCGGAAGTTGTTCATTTGTTGCACCGGTGATGCTTTGAAACGATCATTCTCGGCACTAAGAGGTGTCATGTGAGTGGATTTTCTTCCTTTCGCCTTTCGATTCTTTTTTTGTCTTATTTATTGGGTCATTTTGGTAAATGACTCTAGTATTGCCCAACTGACAACAAACAAACAAGAGCATGGATTTGTAGAATCACAATGAGCCTATCGAATACTCTGGGTATGTATAGTATTTAGTAAACCACTCAGCCTAAGGCTTTTATATAGAAACCCCGCTTTTTGATGGCCCCTTCAGGAAACGATGGACATGCACGCCTGTCCACTTTCCTGTTTTATTTTGCCGCCTTCCCTTCTTCCCTGTCCATTTCCATTTCTATTTTGTTCACTCCGCTATGCGTTGTGTCATGGTGTTAACTAATCTTAGCAACATTATGTCATACCCTTTTCCTGCAGAAACTGCGCCACAGCCACGGTGGCTAATTGAACAACGTGACAGATGCCCCAGTGAGGCGCAGCAATCGGCCATCGCCGATGCGGAAGCAAACGCGTTTCTGTATGGACCACATGTTTTGGATTTCGATTTTATTTTTCTATTCTGCCTGCGGTGGCCAGCGACCATGCCCGTGTCTTACAGATGGACGAATGATGATCAAACCGAACCATCTAGTTTCCAGCTGACGACGCGTCGATGAGATTTTTTTTTTTTTTTTTTTTTTGCGAACGAAGAGGCAAGAATGGCGTCGTCTGTGTAAAACCGCAGCTATCGGAAACCGACTCCAACCGATTCCGCGATGCGCCTGCATTACCGCTAGTCAGCATCCTGCCAATCTCAATCCATGCATCGCAAAGTATTCTCCGCATCTATCAATATCTGTTACTGAGCGCCTGCTGAGACCCTAGCAGCATACAAGCTCAACCTCTCAATCCGGATCTGTCGGTGTCGCCTGTGGAGAACGAAGATAGACATCACAGCTCGGACAAGGCGATACGATGGCAATGTCTAGCAGGCAGCTAGCCCTCTTGCATTATTCCTTCTGCCTGTCCCGAAGGCGTTAGGTTGACGTTGCCCCTGACTGTGCATCGGTGGTGGCTCATCATGGACAGCAGTAGCGTCTTTAACCGGACGATGCAGTGTCCCCGAGCATGCCACCTGTCTCTGTTATACAGAGCAACACAAGTCAGGGAGCAAGAACCCGGGAGGGTCTGTACCTAGTCTGTACCCTGACTGCGTTGCATGTGGGATACCGGGCGATTCCTCCGGATTAGGTATCTAGCCCAGGGCGACGGGACAGGCGCATACTCCGGAGTAGGGGTGGGAAAATGCAGATCGGAACCGAGATTCCACGGAGTGCCGAAGAGAGAGCATGGCAAAGCCCTAGTCAAGGTCTCTCCTTTCACCTCAGTCCTCCCCGACCCCCCTCCCCTCTTCCCATGCTTGTAATGTCCAAGTACCATGGTTACGACTTACATGGACAGACTGGACGGTTCCTATTCCAGAAAGTCTGGAGATGACCATCGACGAGGCTCGGTCCAATGGTAGATCGTAACAGGGATCTCAGCTGCAGCGTAGGGAGCCGGACTCTGAAGGCGCCAGCGAATCTGAGGCCCGAAAAGACGTTTTTCCTCTGCCCAAGACCTTTTAGCTCGCCCCACGAGACTCGACGACCCCTCCATGGACCATGATTCATCAGCTGAGCTACTGAGGTCTTTTTTTCATTTGTTTAGGTTGAGAAACTAGACTGACCTGAACGGTGAAACTTTTTTTTTTTTTTTTTTCCGGGAAACTGCTTCTTCTTGTGTCCGTGATTGGTAGGGTTCGTGGCTGCGGTTGCTAGGACGGTCGAGTAATATGTGGTCACCGCGCTCGCTTCTTCTTTTCTTAAATCCCCCCCCCTTATACTCTCTCCCTTACAAGGAAAACGTCGGACTTTTTCTGTCTTTCTTTTTCTTGTGAGATCAGCGACATAGGGATGCTCCGTGGCTTGGTTACAGTAACCGTGCATGGTCTAGTCGAGCCCGTCCAGACCACAAGGCCATACGGAGAATATACAGAACCATGGAAGATGACACAGACTGTGGGATACGGTGAGTATAAAAGGCGGGAATCTGGATTGAAAAAGGACTAGCGTTCCCTTTTCCCAGAGACGTTGTGCAACTGGCCAGTGCTTGGTGGAGCCTTGGTTTTTCTGTCCGACAGCCCCGACATTTTTTTTGTCGTAGTAGACTTGCCCTACACCGTAGAGAAATGCCATATTGACTCTATCGCGAGTAGATGCAAGACTGCAGGTTTCCCCGTGGCGCGTATAACAGCATTTGCATGTGTGATGGTTTGGTCAAAGACAGGTCCAATGGAGTCGGACCACAAGCCCACATATTGTGCCCATCCAGTTGCAACCGAGTGTTAACCGCAAGAGTTCGTGGGGGATTGAAATCTTGACCGCAGTCCTGCGCAAGAGAATAATAAGATAGTCATTATTGATTGGAAGATCGGGTACTGCGGACGGTTTATATGGATTGATGGACTCTATACTATAGAAAGATTAGAATGCAAGACCCTAGTTATTACAGCATTACTATTAGGCTGATTGAATACATGACCGGACACAGTAAGAAGGATCTTGCGTAGGTTGGATTTTCCTCACCCGCATTTGGCCCTAAGGACTAAGGCTGCCGGGATGGGAACTTCCCAGCTGAAAAGAGACACTAAAAGGCGGACTGGGGTCCACTCGGTGGCGGATTTCAGCTTTGTATTAAATTTATGATTTGGTGTATGGGTTAGTATTTGGTGATAGATTCACAATTCAATCTGTTAGGCTGCGACCTGCTTGTCGCCATCAGATGATCTTCACGATTCTTTGTTGCCCGGAAGTCCTGCATATTGTTTTCTTCTTCTTACAGCCCAATACACCATAATGAAAGGAAGGGAAAGCGGTCAGATACCGGGGACAGACCCGTTTCAATTGCCCGAGATGCGTCCGGTGGATCAGCAATGGGGCTTAGCCAGCCAGCCCTCTTTTACCGCAATCGGTTTGGTGCCGAATGTCTCTATCGTGGACTCAGATCTGGTGCTGTTCTGTCGGGTGTAAAAAGACATTGCAATGTAAGATATTAACAAGAAATGTTGGTTATCAACATCATCGTCGTCATCAGAACTGTAAGACCATCTCTGACTCCGTGGCTAACCTGCCCTGCTTACTCCGTTCGGTCCTCTACTTGAGTCTCGATAGGGTCAGATCTGGCGACATGACAGGTTTGATGGTTGATGTCTGTGACACTCCCTGTCTGGGGACAAACCCTGAATGTTCATCATCAATGACAGAGTCACAGAACTGACTTTGGGGTGGAAATTAGTTGCGATCCCCTTAGGCTGACTCGGGAACCCGGTCTCAAACCCTCCGAATCATGCTGCGATCTCTGCTTTCTAGGGCTTTCAGCCAACGTTTCTTTGACCCATGGCTTTCTAGACATCATAATATTTACAGTTTCCTTCTGCTACCGTAGTAGAATCCTAGATACTCAGACTCCTGTGCAGGGTGCCTTTCTTGTTCTTCGAGGCGTGACGTCTTGACCTGCTTAGGCTCCACCGTCGCCGACGATTCTGGACGGCTGCATGATGCTAACGAGGGAGGAAGGGTGCGCAGCTGAGATCGGACGGTGAATCCGGTAGGGTGGCCAAAATCCCGTAGTATCCATACACTCTCCAGGCGCCTTGTGCCTATACTCCGTAAGACCTACTTACAGCAGTAAGTATCGTCTTTCGAAACTGAAGACAGGATGAATGGATGGATGCGCGTCTCCATCTGGACTACCTACGGACTGTGCGCTTTTGACTTACTGTGTAGAACTTGTTCCATACGATCGGGATTCCGCGTCTGCAAGAGAAAGTCGCCGGACATCGCCATCCATCCATCCTGCATGCGCCCAGTGGGTGTCTTTTTTTTTTTCTTTCTTTTTCTTTTTCTCGCTTTTGCCTTTTTTCTTTTTTTGTTCTGTTCTTTTCTTTTTTTTCTCTTGCTGCAGCGCATCCATCTATCATTCCAATAATGATTTTTTTTTCTCTCATGAATTCTATTTACCTGGTTTTAAACATTATAATAGAACTAAATTTTTTTTCAGGCGAGAATGAAACTTGGATTTTCATGATATTATAATTGCTATTATTTTTTATAAAATTTTATCCCTTCTCTTTTCTCTGTTCCCTGTCTTGTATAAGTTATCGAACCGACTCCAATCGATCTTCCCCCGTATTTTCTTGAATTCAAACCAAATACGACCTTTTTTTTTTTTCTTTTTTTCTTTTTTGTACACAGTCGGGCCAACTCTCTTCCCGCCCCTCTCGTCTTCCTCGTCTTTTCTACTTCCACCTACTTCCTTCTCACCCTCCCTCTCTCTTCCTCTTCTGCTCTTCTTTTTCATACTCCTCTTCTTTCCACCCTCCTCCCCTCCCTCCTCCCTCCTCTTCCTTCTTCTTCGCGGCAATCTAAACTTTCTTTCATTAACGTTCCTTTCGGCCGTCGTCTAGAACTCTTTTGCGCAAGCTCGCCCACTCTATAATTCGGATCTGAACACTCCACTATCCTTCCTACTCCACCCGGCACTTGAACTGTGCGTTTCCTAATATATAACTTTCTTTATACGGTCCCATTCGCTTCCGGCTAGATCAGGTGGTATTCCCGGCCTTTCCATCTGCCCCTCAATCCGCAAGAAGCCTCGTCTTTTTTTCTTGCTTCCTCCTTCGGCTCGTGACCCGTCCGCCTCTCACGGAACCACTCAATCTATATCGGCACCCGAAATCTCACTTGGTGTGGGCGAATGTCATCTTTATGATCTTTGCGCTTTCTTATTCTTTTTCTCTTTTCTGAGATCTTACTTCCGTTCATTTCGCACACGACAGTCCAATATAGTATAACCTCCGTGGAGTTCCCTTAATAATGCCAACGGTCTTGCTCCCGTCGTCGGCCGCTGCCTTCGCGCCGCGGTCGTCGCCGAATGTGGTGCTGAGCACCAGGATCGAGCCGTGGCTGACGGCCACCCTGAAGCGAGTCAACCGAGTCAAGCGACCTTTGAACAATGTGACCCAACATACCCGATGTCTGACGGAGACCCTGTCCTCGCCCAACGCAATCTGGACCCTCTGCTCCATGACGTTTCCCAAGGCCCCCGACTCGGAACTCAGGAAGGACGACAACCCCCTGGTGGAAGCGATATTCAATTATCAAATGGTCCACTTCGAAGCCTACGTGGTGCATGTCGACATGGTCTCGCAGAACGAAGTCGCCTTCAAGCTTACCCCGGAGACCATCGAATCGCTAGTCGATTTCCACAAGGACGTCTATTCCGTCGATTCGGCCGCCGCGCTGTGGGATTGGTCCGAGAAAGAAAGCCAGTTGAAGAAGTTGCAGGAGGAGTTTGTCCAGGCCGCCAACAAATTTGTCTATCGCACAAGCGTGCAGGCGCTGGAAGGCCTCGAGGAGGATGGTGCGGGCGAGCTGCTCGGTGGTCGGAGTGAGGATGCAAAGACCGCGATCTCGAGCCTTTTCACGCCTTTGCTCCCTCCGCCACCGCCTCGGGCCGGGGTCGTCGACGTTCTTCGCTCCACGCCTCTGCTTCCTAGCTCTACCGGGCCGGAGACGTGGTGGCAAGACCCCGTGCAGCAGCCATCGGTGTCGATGGATTCGTGGAAAGTACTGCCATCCAGCCCAGCCGCGGCCACTACAGGGGATTCTAACCCGAACATGTGGGCCAGTTTCAACGGCCTTAATGAAATGCCGATTGCCTCGCCGCCGACGCCCTACAGCCAACCGTATACCACCTCGCCATACACCACACCGCAGACTTACAGCGTTGCCGCCACTTCGGCCGCTCTTGCGGTCCTCCCGCTACCTAGCATGCTGGTTCAGCCTTGCAGCACCGCGGCGAGCATGATTGGCTTTGGATGGGGCGACCGTTACCAAGATTTCGCGCTGCCCCTACAATACGGGACAACGATGTAAAGATCCGCGGAACCAAACACTTGATGTTGATGGTCTCCTGATTTTTGCTTTTTTATTTTTATTTTTATTTGGCATTGATTCCAGGGCCCGCGTCGGCAATCCGAAGATGACGTCTTTGCGTCTCCGGGGTCTGATCAAAAACAAGAACGACAAGAGACTCGGATTAAGATAATAGGCTAATTGGCACCAGTGACGGCGTTATCATTGATTGATTCTGCGAACTACGATACTCCATCTCGTCTGATTACCCTTTTTCGATCTTTCTTTTTTGCAAATTTTTTTTGTTTTTTTCAAAGGACATAATATCTTCACTCTTTGATTTCTTTGCCTCAAAAATTTTTTTTTTTATCTTTTCTTTATGTCTGAGCCAGCGTTAGCGTTTTTGTTTGATCCTTTTGTGCATGAAGAAGCGGCGGGTCGGCTATTTGTTTGCTTTTTTATTACATGGGATAGAGTCCCGCATATATGTCATGAAAGACCTGGTCAGCCTCGCGGCTTGGGATATGATTTGGATGAGGAACGTGCATCTTTCTTTCGGTGTCGCTTACCGTCTTTCAGAGACGACAGGGGATAGTGCTGTGTCAGGAACCAGCATTCCCTCCCCTTCTTTCTCTGGAGGCAATCCTTTCTTTCTGATACTGGATATCAGACTGGTGATTCGAACCGTCGGATCTGAAAGGAGGGTAGGTATTGCGACGGGGTGAGCCATATGACATCTGGTATGTGTATGGCCGCAAATTTTGGCGACACGGACTGCGGGCGTGTGAAGTGTCCAGGGAGGATGGTGTGTGTCCTCAGAGGTTCATGATCTGCCTGTGGCAGACTCTTGAGTAGGGCTCAGAACATTTTGGTCCGTGACCTTTGTTTCTTCCCCCTCTGAGGCCGCACCCCGAACTCTTTGGCTCTATCGCTCTGTCTGCAAACCGTGTCCGTCTCATTGATAGGTTCATCACCTATCGTCCAGGCTGGGTTATGATAATACCTGGACATGCTTGTGATCTTTCCTCTTCATTGAATGAAGGGGGAAGATGACGAGAATCGGATGCTGGCATCGCTGGTTCATTCGAGGACTGGTTTCCCGTCTTCTTTTCTTTCGTTGTTTTTGGTCCTTGCTAGTCTGATTCTATGCATTGGTCGCTTGAGCATGATGTATTCAATCCAAAACCATCCTAATTTGAAATATGAAACCAATGTTGATGGGCTAAGGCTGCCTTGTGCTTCGTATTCCGTATCTCGCGCCGTAAAGAGACTTGGCTCAGGAGCCCCCCGAAGCGATGACGTCAGATCCCCCGACCCCCGGGCAAGGCAGAAACAACCAGACAATCGACGGTGATCTTCCTCTCTGCTTCTTCCCCCTTTTCACTCGAGTCTGCTGGGAAGATTGACGCATGATACCCTGCGATATCACTGGTCTTTTTATCTGTCATAGCCTAATAGTCCCCTGGGTCTTAATCCCACATCTCCCTGAGTTCTAAACCCGGAAGTCTTATCGCAATCGCCACCAGTCAGCATATGTTCCTCTGATCCCTATTCACTTCTTTATGCTTTCCTTTAGAGGAAACCCCATTTATTAATCCCTAATCCCTATTTCCTGCCAGCTCTACCAGGACGACTTCGTACTACCTAGACCACGCCACACCCGATGGCAGCCCTCCAGGATGCCCTAGAATCTCTAGGCCCGATATCCTGGGACGAGGTCCCCTCCTCCCCGGACGCATTACGAGAGTACCTCAGGGATCTCTCCCACAAAGCCCGACTGATCATCGACTCTGTCCCTGAACCCCCCTCCCCGGTGGCGGGGACCGACTCCTCCACGAACCTCGCCTCCAACGCATCTTCCTCCCCGTCCGCGCGCATCAGCCCCTCCCCCGCCCGCCTCGGCACCCCCGACCCAACCCTGCAATCCCTCCAGCGCGAATGGAGCAAACCCATCAAAACCAGTAACACGAGAGACAACCCTCTTGAGCTCCTCATCCACAAACTCCAGGGCCGCGACGGCAACGGGGCCTGGTTCGCCCGCCGCAGCGTCCACGAGGGCCTCTCGTTCTCGAAATGGCAGGCCAAGCTATCCACCGAGATGCTGGAGACGTTGAGGCAGAATCGGAAGCGGTTAGCGAAGGGGCGCACGCCGGATCAGTCGGTGCGCGGGATCGGGGCCGAGGAGCATGTCGAGGAGATCGAGGTCTGCGATGAGGAGGGCCGTCGCATCGGCGTCGTCAACGTGTTCCATGTCTCGGCGCAGTTTCCGAAACCGACCACCCCGAGGGACTTTGTGGCGTTGATCATTAACTGGGAGGTTCGTGTTGATGGGGGTGGGAGGTATTGGATGATGGTTTCTAAGCCGTGCGAGCATCCCGATGTCCCGCCGTCTCAGGGGTATATTCGGGGACAGTATGAGTCGGTGGAGTTTATTCGGGAGATTCCGGTGAAGAAGAGAAGGGAGGATGGGGTGGTGGATGAGAAGGGCTCTCAGGAGTCTATTGGTGATGGGGAAGGGAAGAGGGGTCGGAGGCGGGGAGATACTGCTTCGTCGGAGGGCCCAGTGAAGCGTGAAAGGGGAGACGATACGAAGTCTGGCGTGGATGGGAAGCAGCCGGGGCAAGAAGATGCTGGAGAAGATGACGACGATGAAGAGTCTAATCCAGTGGAATGGGTGATGGTGACTCGGAGTGACCCCGGGGGCACTATCCCTCGGTGGATGGTAGAAAAGGGCACCCCGAAGAGTATCTGCACGGATGCAGGCAAGTTCCTGGACTGGGCCTGTCGGGAGAAAGACCCATCGACCAAAGATGAGCAGGATGAGGAGAATGGCCGGCCCAAAGGCAAGCCAGAAGACACGGCTGGGGCGAGCGATGGAAGCGACGGCGAGTCCAGTGACGATGACCTTTCGGATATTGAAGTCGAGCACCATGGACTGATCGCCAGCTTTGCCTATCTACTGAATGCCGGCTTGGATCGGTATGCGCCCCAGGCAGTGCTGGATTACCTACCACGCCAGGGACAGTTATCCCGCACCAACACCGACGACAGTTTGGCATCCCTGAACGACAAGCCGCCTCGAAGCAACCCAGACTCGATCACCACACCAGTTAGCCCTTCTGCCAAACGGAAAGATAAAGAGAGCAGTGAAACGCGTTCCCAAGTATCACAAGGCAATGCATCGGCCGCGGCCTCGATAAAATCGGGCCTCGCCACGCCGCTCGAACAAGACATTCCATCTCTAGACGCCATGATGGCGAAGAAGGGCAAGATGACCTCGCACGAGAAGCAGCTCATTAAACTAGCAGAGCGGAAGCGCGACACCGAGGCACAATTAGAGCGCGTCCGGTCCGAGATCCAATCCCTCCACCTGCCCCCTCGCGAGGATGACCTTAAACGAGACCCGGCCACGTCCGCCGCATTGGCATCTGTCGGCGACCCCGCCAGCGACCAAGCCAGCAGCAGCCCCGCCAGCAGCGTCAAGAAGGGATCCGACAAGAGCTCCGGAGACAAGAACAACAAGCAGCAGCAGCAACAGCGAAAAAGACCTGCAAACGACTCGGCCCGCATGCACAAGGTCGCCTCGGGTCTATTCAACGACGAAGCGAAGCTCGTCAAGCAGCTCAGCAAGATCAACCAGAACCAGCTCAAGGAGGCCTCCAAGATCGAGGCCCGCCAGCGCAAGGACGCAGAGCGCGAGGTCAAGGCCCGCACGCGCTCCGAGGTCGATACTCTACGTCAGGAAAACGAGAAGCTGAAGAAGGAGCTTGAGAAGTTTCGCAACGAACGGAAGCAGTGGGTGGATTTGATCGGGTCCTTGCAGGCTGAGAATACTAAGTTGACGGCGGGGAAGCAGTCTGAGTTAGAGAAGTGATTGGTGATTGCAATGATCTGAAAACGGTACATAGAAGGAGGTAGCTAACTAGACCTTCTGTACTCGCGAAGATGGACTCTCTTGCTGGATGTACATGTATACTAACAAGAGATTTTTTTTGGTAGAAAACTACAGTACATGATCTACCTAGTTCATAGACTTCAATGATCCATGTATGGGCACGAAAATCCTAGTAGAGCTATGTAGAAGAGGAAGAGCCAACCGTAGCCAGCCGAATAATTCTACAAAATCACCTCTCAGGAGAGAAAAATGAAGATCAAGAAAGGAGACACGGGGCATCTTCATAGTGGAGTCGCATTTACTTGATACTTCGTATGTCTCTCTCTCTCTCTCTCCTATGGAAAAGTGTTTTCTCCCCATTCCAGAGTAGAGAAGAGGGAACGTACATAGGCCAATTCACAAGGAACAGATTGTTCAGAACGATAGATCTGGCATCTGAAGTTGCTCTACAGATCGACCATGTTTAATTATAGACAGAAATAGGATGTAGCGACACCGCTTGGCTTCGTTTCAAAGGAGAACCTAGAATTTGGTCGTTCGTGAGTTTTGAAGTACTCCGTAGAGGTTGTTTGTTTATGAGATGAGCAAGCAGGTAAAGTCGCATCCCTTAATCTCCTAGCAATGAATAAGGGGAACAAGAGGAAAAAGTCAATCTAGTCTGTTGGTTCTAGCCCGAGAGACAAGAGGCTAGATGTTGAGAGCCTGCGAAGTGTACACCTCAGTGTAGCGTAGTAACTATAGCTCCCCTGGGTTGAAACCACGAAGGTTTCAGTGGTGGTTAGGTTTTTTCTCGCTCCCTTTTCTATGCAGGAAAACTGTTCCTGAAGAAACGAGTCAACGAAGGTTTAGCCTTCCCGACGGGTGTACCTGACTCAAACATGGATTTTCAGGCACGTCTTCCAAGCTCGTCGACGTTGAAGAATGCCGAGACTCGACCGGGTAGTAGTTGTCACGTCCCGGCTATTGAGAGGAACTAGATAGGCATTAGAAAGGGTTCCCACTGTTTCACCTTATTGGCTTTAGCTTTTTAATATGTTGGTAGACAGGGTTCTCAAAATTGGGACCTGATGGGCCTGGGCACGTTTGTCTTGTCGTTCTCAGGATCTTAGATTCTTTCCGTGGAGCCAAGCCAGCCCTAGGCAAGAAGGCAGACGCGGTGGATCAAGGCAACGTTAATCTACATGCTGCTCGTTTCGATGATATTTCAGATCATGCAGCGACGCAAGGGAAATCTGATCCGATTTGTACTAGGCACTGTACCAAGGGCAAACGGCCGCAAGAATATGCGATACGTAGTAGATCCCAATGTCTCGGATTAAGCATAGATGGGAGAGAGATCTCGCATCTTTGGTTCCATGCAGGTGCCACCGGTTCAGGGCAAGTTTGCTATTAATATCTGTTACAGGAACGAAAGTTAGATATGGGTTCTCAATTGTGAGTCCAGACTCCCAGAGTCATGCTGTAAAGAGGATAGGAGTAGGAAAAAACCTCTTTAGTATGGTAGTCTGGTCTAGCCCACGACAGAAAGAAGGTTGGTTCCTGATTGACAGGAGGCCAGTTCCCAGAGGCAATTCTGCTATGACTAAGGGCTGATGGGGTCGAATTAACTTCTAACCCCTAAGGCCAAACCGGCGGAATAATGGGTTGTTACCGTTGGGTCCGCCTGAGGTCTGAATTTTGGGACTGTCTAGGGAGTATCTTTGTGTTCCCCCTTGAGAAAAGAAGAGGAAGGACCAGACGAGCTAGACGCATTTTCAACGCGGCCATGGCGTTTCAGGCCATTGGACGTAGAAATTACGAGTAGTACCTAGGATGTAGTTCCATAGAAAAGAGAGAGAGAGAGAGAGCGAGGCACCGAGGGACAGAGAGGATAAGAAGGATGACTAAGGAGTGGGGAATCCCCGTTCAGCTGATCGGCCGAAAAGAGAAACCTTCGCGATTCCCTTTTGTCCCTCACGTCATCTCGTCATCGTCCATCCATCGCGAATCTCGACCGACGCTTTCCCCCGCATGTCTCAGCGAGGAATCCTGGGCCGAGATGGTCCTTGGGCCTTGGTCGCCCTTGCGGTTCACAATATATTAACAGTGACATAATTTGTTGATGCCCGAAGCATTGAACATTGGCTTGCTCTACCCGTATTTCCCCCGCCATTGCGGTTCCCCAGGATCATCCCGACCGGGTCAGGGCCAGTTTGATTGACTCAAAATATATTACCCCAAGATCGCTTATCAAGTTTGAATTGCCTCATCCGGAATGAACTACTTCGGAGATTTCTGGATCGAGGCATCAGCAAGGAGGCTGATGCTGCAGGTGCACCTTTCCTGGTGGAAGGTGAATGCAACCATTGCACGATAAGCCTTTCACTGTCTTACAACAAAACAATGTGTCTCTAACATCGCGTCATTCCACCTACAATTAGACAATAGAAAGTTCAATTTGGAGCACAGGAGACGAACTGTATGAATCGTGTTTGTTTGTTTGTTATTTCCCTCCCTGCCTTTCTGTTCTCAACAAGAAACAGGAACCCCCAGATTCTCCCAGGGCCAAGGTACGTTTTCTCGGGGAGGTGGACCACACAGAATCGCCGAATGGTTGACTGCGCTCGCACATCAGTGGAGTCGGTTGCGGCACAATATACGGGGTGAAAGTCGAAGCCGGGCAACGATGAGCCGTTTCTCCATCTCGTCCTCCCAAGAAAAAACAAGATTTTGACCGTGGCCGAAAAGGAACCAAGGGAAACCCCGCTTGATGGTCACTGTCGATCATCCAGCTAAAAAGAAATTAACCCCAAGATGGAAACATGGGTGCAACGCTCGTCCAATGACCGGTTCCAATCTTGGGCTTAAGCAGTTCCTAGATATCACATGTTACCGAGCGATTCCTCCGAGTAGCCAGCAGTAGCACCTGCAGCTGCGGCGTCGACTGCGTTCTTGCATGGTCTTGCAATACCTAACATGTCGAAGAATGTTGATGGTGAAGGTGTTCAGATCCTGAGCGAGCCGTTGCTTCCAAACAATGGGTTTGCACCTGTGGACTTGAACTAGTATGTGCTCGTCGGCATCTCGAAAATTTTCCATGGGTCAACTACCCCGTCTCCGCCAAAGAAAAAAACAAGAAGAAAAAACCGCGTTTCGGAAATCTTGCTCTCGAACGGCCTTAGCAACCTAGGACCATATTTGGCGATGAATGCTCAAGTGAGAGAGAATCAGGGCAATAATTATGACTGTGGAGCACCCCAACACACTGATGCTTGAGTTAGACTCTGCTAGGGTCCGTACCTCAGTGGCTCGCACCCTAGCCAGGAACTAATAACATACTACCAGCCAGGGACCCAATCACAGACTTCTATTTGACACAGATCGGCAAGTCAATTGGTGCATGCCCTTATAGTTCCAGAGGAACGAGGTGATTGTCAGATGCTCGCTTGCCCGTAGACGATAAGTGTTGATGCTGATCACCGAGGTATAGAACAGCAGAGCGGAAAAAGAAAGCCCTTCCCAAGGGTCCAAAAAACAATTCTCGCTGCACTTCGCAATTTCCGGTGCTCGTCATTCGTCCCCCCTCTTCCCCCTCCCGCAAAGTAAGATCCTTCAGCGAAACATGGAGTACACGGCTCAGTCCGACAAGCATAGCTTGCTTTGGGTCGGACCAAATTATGCGTTGGTCCACGAGAATCATCCCGTCCAGCGGCGGAGGTAGGGAGAGAGGGAGAGCCCGCCCCATGGCTCACCCATGTCCCGGAGAAAGAAAAAAAAAAAATCTAAAAAAAAAGAGATCAACACGTCGTATCCAAACGAGAACTAAAGGGGAATTACCTCCGCTAGGTCGAGCCCAAACAGTCCTGCCACTGACATCAGTAGCGTGGGAACGACGCAAAAAGCCAAAAACCAACTCGACTTATCCAGTTCACATGTGGGGACTGTTAGACAATCCTCGGTTTGTTCCAGTCAATGGATCTGTGGGGAGTAGATTCCGCACACCTGCAGATATAAAGGAAGCCTTGCAGCCTGCGTAGATCTGTACTCGGTCCCTCCAGCCGTCGATTGCTGGCCGTCCTCCCCCCCGTCAAGAGCATCCACCCAGCATGCGTTTCTCAACTATCTTTTCCGCCTTTCTGCTTTCTAGCGCCTCGCTGGCAACCCCGACCCAGGCTTCCTCAGCACTGGGCAATGCTCCGACCCAGGGGAGCGCTCCGGCAGAGGAGCACTCTATAGCTCATGTTCCCGTTACGCCAGAGCCGACTGCGCAATCGAGTGGCAATTCCGAACAGCAGGCGGATGTCAGAGTCAACAGCCAACAGGAGAACTCCGATGCCGAAGAAGAGCAGGAAACTGCCAATGCCAACAGCCAGCAAACATCTGCCGAAGTTCCTGCCCAGTCAAACGCAGCCTCCAAACCATCCGCGAGTGAAGAAAATGAAGAAGCTCGGCCCAGTGAGAATGCCGCTGCCGCAGCTTCGACAGACAGCCCGTCTGTCCCAACCGGAAATGGTGGTTCCTCCTCCCAGAACTCGGAGGGAAGCGCTGCCGTCTCAAGTGCCTCGCCCGCCGAGACTCAGGGTGGTGCCCAATCCTCCGAATCCTCCGAATCCTCCCAGGAGGCCAGTCCATCCCGTACGGCTCAGTCGATGGGACAAACAACTGTCACAGCTTCGGACTCCTCCAAGCCATCTTCCACGGCTAGCAATGGTGATCCTCTGAAAAGCCTTCTCGATGGACTGACGGGAAAACCCCTGAAAGACCTGGGCAATGGCATCGATGGCCTCTTGGGGCTCCTGAACCCGACGTTCCTGCAGGATGTCGAGTCCTTCTTCCATCATTTTGCCTACCTGTTTGACGACAAGACCACCGACCAGACGAAGGATTTGATCAACACAGGACACAAGCTCCTGACCCAAGAGTTGATCAAGGAGGTCACGAGTCTCCTGAACAATGCAAACTCATTGTTGACGCCCAGCTTCGTGAACGAAACCCAAGAG